ATAGACATTGAAAGGAAGTTAAATGCAGGATAAGCACCTGTGAGGCATCTACAGTTGGTTGTCCAATTCATAAAACACACTGCCAGACTTACTGTATCATTAAGAGCAAATAGAATGGTGATAACACCTTTACTCATTCATAAACGAGCATTACGGGCAGGTTTAACGAGGATTACAGACTGCACGAGAGGCTCTGCTGTGTATATTGAATCATAACACTGCACCATCCTGCAAGATGAAATGCTGAACCGCCCTGATGGTAATTTTCCAGATAAGAAGCTAATAAAAAAAGAAGCTGATTAAATTACATTTTCTACAATGATTCCAAACGTATTTGTTTACGTGCAACAAATAGCAGATACACACTCAGCTGATTAACCGGCATGTTTAAAAGACATGTTTTGATCTGTTTGGATGGAGCATCATGACAAACCTTCTAACTGCAGCTGTAGGAGAACAGAGGAGAAACAAGACTCAGGCAGGATTTCAGATTTGCAGATTTAACTAACACTGTACTTAAAATGGGCTCCCAAAAATTTTCTTTCGCATATTTTGTGCATTTACACATTTCCCCCAGAGGCTGCTGGTGCGTCAGCCGTCACAGGTATCCCCATGCTTGCTTCACCTGTTCTCTTTTAAAATACAAACCCTGCCCACAAACTGCCGTCTAGTAGTTAATTGAGTCATTTAGCAATGTCAGTCATGAAAAATCACCACACAGATCATCACATTCAATATATACTCACATTTTGATGTATTAGCTGATGCTGCTGGAGGACACTGACATGTCTTTAATATGATTTTTATTGCGCTGCCAGCAGGGGAGATTTAAATTCTTTTTATGTTATAAGAACTGCATATGTTTTTTTTTGTTCTTTCTTTCTTCTTATTGTAAGCTCACAGGACATGAAGACTTGAAAAAACCCATATTTTCACTGGGTAACTCTGAACTCTTGACAGTAAGACATTGGGGTCCTGCCAAGCTTGGTGCTTCCATTACCACGGCAACAGGGTTTTGAGGCCTTCAATAGGCTTCACAATACACCAGTACACTAATTAAATCTCACTCCTGCAGTCGAGGCAGGCTTTGGGACATGCACTGAGTTTTTTTCTTCCATTCTCTATCATCTCACGCTACAGCAACAGCACAGAGAGCCAGAGAGGGGCCCCATCTCTACAGAATTTCAATGTTTGCACCTAATGACCACCACTGAGATATTCCATTTGGATAATGATGAAACTCAAATATGAAGAGCGCTTTTGGATGTGTTACCTTGCTGTAGTATAGCATCAGCAGTTGTGTCTTCCAGGGGTAGAACTTTGGTTTATGGGTGCAAGTGAAAAAACCTGGGTTTGGTGCAAAATACAGAAGCTGAATAAAGTCTACAGTAACCACATACACAACACTGTAAATGAGAGCAATGTGATAGTACAGGAATAATTATGCAAAAAAAATTGATGCTAGCCATATAAAAAGCTTGTTTTAGTGAAAGACATGTCAGCTGATGACTTGTTTGGCTTAACTTACACTGATACAGTGCATGAGTGTGAAACTGAAGTCAGGCTGTGTGATGCTGACATAAAATGCGTTCGATAAAGCTGTCAGATATCACAAGGATGTAAGAAGCAATAAATTATTATTAAAATAGTGTGCCTCTGATGGATGTAGTGCAAGTACAGAATTTTTTGGCTGTGTAAACAGGAACTGAACTAACTTCTCCTTTAAGCAACTGCAAAATACAAAATTATAAAAGCACTATTTACTATTGTGCAAAATAAAAAGAAATGAACTACTAGCAGCTACTGCAGTTTGAGACACAATCAGAATTACAGCTTTTCTGTAAAGGCTACAAAATCAAATAATTACATACATACATACATACATACATACATGTGCAAGTAGAGTACTGGGTGTGAGAACAATCCTAATATTTAATGCTTTTTTACAGGCTATTAGTTAAAGATGGAGTACTTTTTAGGTTAAGTTTCTCATACATACTCCAAAGCGAAGTTCAATCCCAGCATAGTGAAACACTTAGTAGGCTTCTAATGACGTAACGTCTGTTTGGCACTGTGAGGCATTTAGATAAGTTCTGTCATCGCTGCTCTAACAATGTGTTCATCATCAAAACTCACGTCACGATAACGATAAAATTACAGTTTAACATACAGCGCTAAGCTGAAGCCTGAACCCAACCCATGCCCACGACTATGAGACCCATCATGCCCAACTCGTACTGCTAAATTTGAATCCCAAACACGCTTGTACAGACTAACAGACATAACTGTTGTACATTTACACTGTATTTTGATAGGACCCATCGGGCTCGGTCAGGTAGCAGACTTCTAATGCACACATGGTTTCTCTCATTCCCACGTAACCAGACCCTTTATCAGCTCCATTAAAACAACGTGCCATTTCTTTTGGTCACTAATATTAGGTCATTGTCCAAATAGCTAGCTATAGCCTGTTAGTACGAATTAACCATAGGATTAAGTTTTATTCTGGTTGGCACTAATCCAATGGGCTGTTTAGGCTACAGAGAGTGGTGGAAGATGAGTATATGTAATATGTAAACTGCGGAATTTTTCGCTGGCCAAAAATTATTTGTTCGACTTATTGAGTGTTAAACAGTATGTTTGTATTTTGCTAATAATAATACTAAATTCCAGTGGCTAACCTACAAACATGGTTCCACAGCCCCTCTATGAAGCTCTGCTAAGGGTGTCTTTATATTATTCCGCTTTTACCATATCAGTTGGAGGATGTTGCATGAAATACTAATGCTAATGAATTATCGGAGCCCTGATAGCCTAGATTTCTGAGCAGCACCACAGTGAATTATATTTTTTCAGGCTTTAGCCATGAGCAAGCTTTGTGATGCTTTTTTTTTTTGTGTGCATGATTATGCATGATAAGCACGATTATCTGCCGAGGAACATCATTTGAGGGGGGCACTCATTGCCTTTCTCTCTGACAAATTGCTTGTGATTTTTCAGGCTGAGATGGATGGCTCTCTTGCCTTTTAGAGTGCAGTCATTTTATGTGATTGATTGCCATTTAAATCAGCAGTTTTGGCTTTATTGATTAGGCCTGAAACAGCATATGTGTCCACCTCGTTTTTATTGTCTGTCATGCAGCCCTGATCAGAGGCTGCGAGTTTGCAGCAGTGCTCTGCTGGGAATGTTCCTAGCATGCAAATGGAGCTCCGGTCTGAAAGGATCTCTGTATCAGAAGCCCTGCAATGAAGCACTAGTCGATTCACTGTAGAACTCTGAAGCACTTCCACCGACATTAGCCTTCTGAGTGTACTTCACAGCTTCACTCAGCTTAGCAGTCCCACTGAGATCAGAGTAGATCTGTCTGGAGGTTAAGGAGTAGCATTTCCCCCCAAAACTGAGAAGTGTTAAATCTCATTAACTAAAGGCAAATCAGGAGAACCCGAGGGTGGCAGGAAAGAAAAGCAGAAAAAAAGCCCATCACCCACAGAAAGTTCAGCATGCTAATAGAACGGTGAGCCTTCAAGCCAAAGTCTGATGTGATTGGGTGGCTGAGGACGTGTAGGGGACATTTATCACTGTGACACAGCACACTGACTCTCTTTGTTTGATTGGGTAAATTAGTGGGAGCTAATTTGCTTCCTCTGCAGAATCCTTTGCAGGGTTTTTCTTGTTGTGTTAATTAGGCTGGAAGAACTGTTTGGTATGCCACATGGATGTCAGTCCAAGGTGAAAGGGAAAAGAGCTATATCATTGTTATGCATTGCCTGTGCTAGGAAAATTATGAATATTTTTATGGCTATCAAGTATAACCTGCTATTTTTGAGTGCTTCCACTGTTCTGTCAAATTGAGCATTTAAATTAAAGGCAAGGTAATCATCGCTTCATTCCAGAAATAACAGGTCTGATATAACCCAATTCCAAACTCATCATTATGCTTATTAAAATTCTCAGAAAACAGCATTCATGTTTATGATGTTCAGTGATTTTCTAAAGTACATCTGGTGTCTAAAAGATGGACCACAAATGACAAGTCAGGAGGAGTCTGTCTAGTGGCCTTAAATGATTCATCACCTGGTCACATGACAAAGCAGCAGCTGTCTGTAGTCATTACTTTCCACACTGAGCTGTATAAATACAGCATGGACATTAGGCCTAAACTACTATTTGGACGGGATTAGTGTTACATGGGAAGGTGGGGTACTGTAAGTGTAATGGGTGTTTCTCTCTGATTTTAGTCCCATCTGAATCCACTGTGTCTGTAATTTTTAGACAGCGCACTACCATCACATCATCACATCAGTGAAGTGTCTAGCAGCTTTTACCTTCTATAAAATGAACTGTAGAAAGAAACCCAGGTTATATTAATCCTGTGCCAACTGTCATCTCAGTTAATATTCCATTATATCTTGTGGAAAAGGAGCTTTTTTTTTTTGTATTCTCTGTGGCCCCAATCAAGACTATGTATTGTCTACCTCAGCTGTATGACTCTGATCATTATAACAAATAAAATGACACACTAAAAGTGATTTTATGCAGCAATGTTGACTTCAAATTCCCAAGATAATGTCATTGCCAATTTCGTTGCATTGCATTCAATTAAGTAGCCACTCCTAACTCTGTCATTTATACCAAGGGTAAATCATGCAAATTAGTCTTTTTACAGATTACAGGTGTCCTAATTAATATTTTTGTGGTTATTTGTGGTGGTAGTGTGGTTTATATTGATTATGAGCACCTAAAGAATTATTTTTTTAATCATTTTAAAATCATAATTCTAATGGTGGTGAAAGGTGAAAATCTCTTTGGGAAACTATTTGATTGCCCTTTATACTAATTCTGTTCTCTGTTCAAGTCTAAATTTCAGTGTTATCATTATTATTAAAAATTATTTTAGATGTATTAAGAATGCTCAAATACAAGAATTAGTGCCTATAATACCATCATCAGCATTTGGATGCGTAACACATATAAATATAATGTGTTTGCTATTCTTTCAGGATGCTAAAGTGCGAGAGCAGCTGGGTGTGGCCACTATGGTGGGAAAGATAGAGAACAGAATGCTGACAGTGGTGACTGGTCCAGACATGGTCAACATCACCTACCTAAACTTCATGGCCTTCCAAGAAGAAGTGGCCAAGGTAATTAACAAAGTTTTATGTATATATAATATTCTTTAGCAGATGTGACCTGTGGTAGATGATGACAGAAACTGATGAATGGAAACGTTTATTACTTTTGTAATAACTGCTGGAATGAAAAATGATCTAGAATGGAATTGTTAGGTCTCACAGGCCATGATTCAGTGGCCCTGTATAATGAGCTATTATATAGGGCTTCTGAATCATGTACAGTAATATAGTGGCATTTTATTGGTGGACTGTAAGTTCTCAAAGAGAACTTAAACCTGCCACGATAGTATTTAGTGGTATATAAGTAGAGATGCATGATGGTATCAGAATCATATCAGTATCGGAAGATATTTGGTTAAAAACAATATTGGAATCTGACAGAAATTCAGATTTGACTGATATTTCCAAGCATTATTTGAAGACATATTTATTGGACTCTGGAAGAGCAAAAAGCTTAAGCAACGATGAGCTACTGTGTCAAAATGTCTGCATGTTTATTACTTTTTCTGCATTTTTTGCATTTTCTGCACTTTTAACCATAGGTTTTACACTTCTCTCTAATGTTAATCAAGGTATATTTAGTTCCCATTCCAACATTTTATAAGTTATTGTTTTGGCATCAGTATCTGTATCAGCTGATGTTTACATTAAAAATATACAGATATTCTCATATTGGTGCAACAAGCCCCAAAAGTCAGAACTATTAGGATTTATAAGCACCTTCACAAAAAAAGCCCTGTTGTTTGACCAGAGCCCCTCCCTCTTCCCAAGCCCTTTACTCTGATAGGACGCATCCAGATACCTACTTTTGAGGGTAGACTATGTTTTGACTAAATGAGAGACCCTCAGACGAGACACAGGGACATAAATCTGACACAGGTTTATACTTCCATGCCATGTTTCTGAATTTCCTTTTTTGATTTTTCGATACTGTACTGAAATCATAATATCCTTACTGAATAGTGATGAAGAGTCAGTTCTGTGATGACTAACTGTTCGCTGTGTTATGTGTGGTTCTGTTACATGCTTCAGACAAAGTGTGAGTTTTTATGAGTGTTATGGTCATAAGTGTTTATGTCTGATATTGGGTCTGTTTGTAGGAGTGGGCTGAGGAGCTTTTCAGCTTGGCCTCCAACCTCCTGGCTCAAAACATGTCCCGGGAGTCCTGTTTAGAAAAAGTGTGAGTACACTCTGTATTTCTGATTCCTCATGTTTCTTTTCCCATTTTGATAGCTGTCTGATGTAACACTCCCTCTGAAATATATATTTGAACTGGAATTTGGACTACCAGTTCCTCCAGTGCCACTTTAGTGCACCCAGTGGATCTTCACTCCCCAATAATGATAAAAATGCCACATAGAAGGACCCTCCATACTGAACAGTAAAATTTCATAAATCAATGCTTTGCCCACAGAAGTAAAGATTGACGGTCAGGACTAGCTGCCCCAAAGCAAGTAGTGTTTTAGAGCCTGCAACGAACTGAAGCAGCATTTGATCAATGCCAAACAGAAAGCACTTCTGGCAGTGAAGTATTCTCACACCATCCTTTTTATGGTTGCGGCATTGTACATACTGTATAGAGAGTCCCAAAATGTTTGGGTTCTGACTTCTGTTTGTTTGTTTGCTCTTTATTCTAAAGCTCTAGAACATTGTAAATTGAATGGCACGTGAAGCCGCAGGAGCTGTGGGAGCTACAGTGCTAACTTTGAGCTTTCAGTTGTTTTTTGTCTATTTTGGATGACCCGTTGGGACATTGCAGGTTTATGTAGCTCTTTTTTTTTCAGGGCCACAGATGTGTCGTTTTAAATAGGTTTGCTGCACAAATGACTTTGCTGCCTTTTATTAGACAGAAGTGACTTTTTGTGTTCATTTGCAGCTTCAAGCTTCAGTGCATGCACAAAATGAGCAGCTTATTGCTTTTGCTTTTGGAATCATAAGGTCCAAAGAAGTGTCAATAGCAAGTAAAGTAGGCTATGATGATAACACAAAAAAGTCACTAAATGAAAAAGAAAAAACATCAACAACTTTTTGTTTTAACATGAAAAAGAAAGAAGCCATTCTTCACTAAAGCAATAAAAAATGCCCTGTACATTTTAATTACTCTATTTAGTTGCAAAGCTGGATGTTAAAACATACATTAATCAGTGCATGTTTCAAATTAACTGCACTCTGCTGCAACCCATTTTCAGACATAAGCCAGAAAATGTTTGCATTCTAGTAGAGCCCACTGAGGAAATTCCTGAATATTTCATGGAGAAAATATGACTCAGCTGAGCAATGCAGGATATCCAGCCAGGCTGTCAAAGACCAACATATGCACAAAACTATACTCGTAAAACCTTAAAGCCACAAAAGGAAAACTACTGGTAGATTTCAAGAACAGAACAGTACAGGTTGCAGTTTGTTTTAAAGTAACTGAAAGATCTAGTCCAGTTCTAAGATGTTTTATGAATGCTGTTGTGCAGTGTGTTGTGTAAAATGTTGCGAACATGATCCAAAACGTACCTTATCTGTGAATTATGTGAAGTAATGGTTTGGGATGCTTTGTCAATTACCTCACCTGTGTAAACCCCTTAAATGGACAGGGCCCACTGGCAGTCCCAAAGTTTCGTTACACACTTCTATAACCTGAGAATAGCTCAGCCAGTTTGCATTGAGGTCCCTGTAGTTACTGAATAATAAGACTTAGTATGTAGTAAGCCTTAATAAGGTATCTAATAAGGTTAAACAATAATTCAACTACACACTTCTTTTAGTCCAAGTCCAGGAAGATCTTTTCTGCTTGGTGCTTTATCATGCAGCTGGTCAGTGACATAAAACATACTGTCCAGTGAAGGAGCTTTTCTGGCCCAAAGATGGAAAACTCTCAGATGGCAAGTCAAACACCTGACCAAATTCTGATGATGAACCCAAAGGCTAAAAGCCCTCAAAATAAACAGGAAGTAGAGACGACTGCAGAACAGAATGTTAGCCTGGAAAATGCCCAATGTCTGAGAACTGATATACAGCACAGGATTTGGGATTTCATTGCATGCAAAGGTTGTGCAGTGTGTACATGCTTATTGAACACTTCAGTTTTTCGTGTAAATGCCTCTGGCACATTAAATGGGGTGAATATAGGTGTGGGCCATATGGATCAATGCTGTCATCATTGTGAGAAAGTATGTCACAGTATGCATTAGTACTTGTCAAATTAAAACTGCTTACTAACAAGTAATGCTAAGTAATTTGATTCATTTTTTTTTTTTTTAATTTACAACATGTTACATGTTGTTGTTAGTTTTTTTTTAGCCCTGAAAAAAATTCAATAAGGTTTCAGCTTCACAAAAGCTAACAAATGCAGTTGCGGGTTCATTTTGAGACATCAGTCTACAACTTTCTCTGTTATTCCGAGTTTAGAACTCAAGCCTAGCTAACCCTAGCTAACTCTAGCTAGGGTTAATGCCAGGGCACATGCACATGAAACAGTGATGTTTATGAGAAACAGCCCATTGTGTGAAGCATGAGGAGTTGAGTGGCTTGTTTCTCAGAGAAGAAAAAAGAAACCATACTATGTAAAATATATAAATATATATTATGTTCTAGATATCTATGTTGTACGATGCTTCTTCTGCTTCGAGGCAGCATTTTTCACATGATTGATGCCACAGATGCCATGAGGAAGATTCAGAAATTGGAACTGGAATCAGGATTGGAAGGGTCCACCTCAGACAGAATGCTGGCCCCGATTGGTCAGAAGCTCGCACTTATTTGTCTAAGATCTGAAATCCTGACCGTAATCTGCCCCCAAGTTTTGTGTGTGTAACATATGTTGCCATGGTGATGTAGCCTGATAAAGTGTGTCCACTGTCATGAAATTTAGATTGAACTAAGCTTAAATTACCTGGCTAAGCAAGTCATGTTTTTGAAATAGGCCACAGGTTAAGCTGGTTAAGCTGTTTTTGTTTGAATTTGGTCAAACTGGTCATGCTGGGGGACCAGCTAAACAATTAAACTCAAGCGAAAACATCCCCTATGCTGGTCAACCAGCAATTTAACAATCTGGTTGGACTATGTAGGATATGTTTTCACTTGTCCAACTGAGTGTTCAGCTTGTAAACCACATAGACAATCAGAGACCAGCCTGAACCATCTGAAAGCAGTTACCAGCAAAAAGTGGGCTTCTCAGAAAAAACTTTATAAAAAACATGTTGCATCATTTTCTTGCCATATCATCCACCCCTAGGTGAATATGTGCAATTTTAAATGTACTTTTAATCACTTCCGTGGCTGGAAATGCCTTTAGATGACAGCTGCACTTTAGCACCCCATTGTGTCTCTGTGGATCCAAAGTATTAGCATACAGAGCCAAGAAAACATCACATTTGGGCTTCTTAGAGTTATGTCCAGTCGTAGGTGTAGATTGACATTGATGTTGAAAGACGATGAAGGTTTATTCATCCTTTTGTCTCTGAGCAACTTTTTGCTTGACTTTGCCCGAGTCACTCCCGCTGTCCTTTGCTCAACTCTAATCAAAGAAAAATGCACAGAGCCGCAGCAGAAGCATGTAATCATCCATTTAGCAGTTTCCATGCTATTAGATGGGGGGAGCGTGGTGGCTGGGCGTTTACTCGAGTCTGGGCAGCAGCTGTATAGCGACAGCAGCAGTTTAGATGTCCTTGTGCCACAGACCAGATTTGTCTGGTGACTCAGTGGGTGGCCATCAGTGGACGTGGGAGATAGAGTCAGTGGTATAAGAACCCGTTGCCCCCGAAGGTTAACTATTACCGATGACTTTGCCCTTAGATGACGTAGAGGGCAACTGCATAATTGACATTAATTATTTGCAAAAAGCCACTTATCACTGAGTGCATAATGATGGCCAAAGTTGCACGCAGGCTTATTTTTAGTGTGGTGGCGTATCTACCTCCTCATGCTCCACTGCCAATGCAAAACATCCTGGGATTGTGGAGCAATGCATGAAATTTAAATACATACAAACACACACCCCACACACACCCAAAGATGCTCACACACAGACGCTATAATTAGAAATGCATTGAGACAGCTATGCACTGCCACACACACAAACAAATTTTGACAGAAGGCTTATTGATTTCAGGCAAATGATGCTGGCCCATTTTCATGCATATGAATGTGCGAAACATCAGTGATATTTATAATGGTGAACTAATGAATGCATCTACAGTGCGTGCTTTTGTCCCGAGGAAGGGGTGGAATATATTCATACAAAAAAAGTAATGGATTCTGAAAGGATGTTTTCATATTCATTCCTTCACAGATATACCAGACTGCTGCTGCAGCTCACCCCTGAGGGATGTATTCCTGTGAAAAAGTGAGTAACACGCCAACTGCTCAATCATAATTGTGACATTCATAACATTCATATAATATATCTGCAGCTAATTCATCTGTACCTAATCATTGTTTAAAAAAATGATTTGGCCAAATAGTTACACCAGATGTGGTTGATCAGTCAAGACTTACTTAGTTTCTACATTTTGCTTCTTCATTAAAGCGCTGGAGGCTAACATTGCTAACAAACATTAGAAGTCACCCAAATCTTTTCTGTAAATACATCCCCAAAACTTCTCTCAACCTTAACCTCTCAGCAGACAGGATGACTTACTTTGAACTACACTGTTAGAAATAAATGTACTGTGCAGGTACATTTCTCATTCATGAAAGTACAAACAATATAAATGTACCCTCATTGGTGCAACAGTGGTTTTAAGGTCCAATTGTGTACCTTACTTGTTACTTAAGTTTTTTCCAGGTGAAAAGTATGTGTTTGTATCTTTTCATAACCTAATGTTTTAAAACAGAACAATAAAATAAGCCTGGAGACGAGACGGGGTGTGTAGAGTCAATGCAAGTTAGAAAATATAATTTCAATGGATTATGGTACAGTTATGTTCATGACTAAAGGTACTGAGATGTACCCTTGAGGTCACCACCCCAGTGACAAGAGGGGTACTGCCCCAGCGACCTTTCATACCTTTTTTTATTTTTTGAGAGTGTAGAGGGCCCATCCGCTCCCGCAAGATTTCATCCTGCTTCCGTCCTGCTCCTGCAGAAAATCAGAATCATTTGTCCGGCTCTCACCTGCACTGAAATGTTTTGGTCCGCTCCCACCTGCGCAGTTCTGTCAAGGCGAACAGACATCCAATATCTGACACAGTCTTTTCACAAATACTATATTCTCTGCTGAATTAACACAACAGTTACGATCATCTGGCTCATTGTGAGTAACTTTACCAAACGCCATTTATTCCCAGTAAACACAAAGCAGGAATTAAACCACAAAACGGTTATTTTTGGTGTTTTGCTGGGCTCGGTAACTGTGTCCATATACACTTTCAGGTAAAAAAGGTGCTTAACTGTTAATGTAGTGGTACCCCTTTTGTCGCTGGGGTGGTAGCTTTAAGGGTGCGTCATCAGTACCTTTTAGTTAGGAAAAATAATTGTATCAGTTATATTCCATTGCAATTACATATTTTTAAGTTGTATTGACTCCGTACACCCTGTCTTATCTAGGTACAAAAATGTACCTGTTCACTTCACAAAAGTGTAAGATAAGGTACACCATTGGATTACATTGTCTGTACCTTGACGAATGAAAAATGTACCTGTACAGTTAGTATTTTCTGACAGTGTAGTTCAAAGTAAATTATATTGTGCCCTAAACCACAAGTCTGTGTAACCTTAAAGAAGACCTAGAGTGAATTGAGAGAATGAATTTACAGAAAAGATTTGGAAGACTGTTGACTTCTAGTGCTTGTTAGCGATGTAAGCCTCGTAGCTTACATCGCTAACAAGCACTTAATGAATAAAAAAGGAGCCAATGAAAGAAAAATCTTCATGGGCACTACGATGGAGGCAATAAATCAAATCATTTCAGAGTCATTTCATAGACAGCTCCGTTTGTCTAGATGCACTGTATGTCCAAAAGTTTGTAGACACTGGCTCATCCAAGGTTTCTTCTGAAATCAAAGCTATTAATAGGGAGTTTGTCCCCCTTTACTGCAGTAGCTGCTTTTACTCTTTTAGGAAGGCTTTACACTAGTGGTACACTGCTGTGAGGATTTGATTGCAGTCAACCACAAAGGCAAAAGTGGATCACAAGCATCCAATTCTTCTTTGGAGATTATGCAAGCTGTGCACAATGGAATGTCTGTGTCAGCAATTAATGCACCTTAAAATAACTACATTTTCTAATTAGAGAGTGTCTGGATACCTTTGGACATATAGTGTACATGTATGTAAATGTAGGGTTTTTTTATATACAATTAACTGCAGCATTCAACTACATTTATTGGATCCAAATGTGATGCATTAAATTTACTTAGTTCAAATGTGTCCATCATTTTAAATTTACATTAACACAGTCACTACCAAAAGTAAGTAAACTGAAAAACAAAACTGTGTTGATATATTTTATACATGTGGACATGATGGACACATTTAAGTCAGGTAAATTCAGTGCAACTTTTTATTGAAGTGCTTTTGAGGAAATGTCTGTTGTTGTGTCCTAACAGTTAATGTCTGCTTTGCTCTGCTCTAGTATCTTCCGGGTGTTTTCAGCAGACAGGAAGCGGGTTGAGAATGCTCTGGAGATCTGTGGCCTTCCATCTGGAAGAGTAAGCTCTGGCTCGTGTCTGTCACTAGTTGTTGCTTTACTGTGTTTACTGCCATTGAGGTTCTGTAATTGTGTGGTTACAAAGTTCAGCTTCAGTTCTGAAAGCAAGAGATTAGTGTAATTTGCATTTAATTAGATATTTAAAGCATAAAAGCACATTGAAAATAGAATTATGTGCTCAAAGTAATAGATTTAGTTGAATTCTGGACCCTGACAAAGTTGAACTCTGCTGATAGGTTCCTTATGAAATGGTTTAGAAAAATGTGATTTTGCCTTAAAATTACAGGATGGTAGATCATCCCTAATGGATAAAAATACCTCCTGTCAGTAAAAATTATGGGAACGGCGGTATAAAAACAACCAAATGTTTAAATGTCCTTGGACCTTTACCACCGAGAATCAGGCTAAAATCACAAGACAAGCAAGGACATTTATAAACCACTGTCATGTAGGTGTACAGAGCCAGTTTTACAGTATAGAAGACTTTATAAATAAAAAAAAATTGTGCAAATTAAGGTTGTCACAATTACATGTACAGCCCCATTTCCAAAAAAAGTTGGGATACTGTGCAAAATGTAAATAAAAACGCAATGATGTGCAAATCATTTAAACCCTATATTTCATTCAAAATAGCACAAATACAACATATGTTGAAACTGAGAAATTTTATTGTTTTTTGAAAAATATATGCCCATTTTGAATTTGATGCCAACAACACATTCCAAAAAAGTTGGGACGGGAGTAACAAAAGGTTGTGTAATGCTACACAAAAAATTGGCAACAGGTCAGTAACAAGATTGGGTATAAAAGAGCATCCCAGAGAGGCTGAGTCTTTCAGAAGTAAAGATGGGGAGAAAGACTGTGTGGGCAAATAGTGCAACAATTCAAAAAGAACATTTCTCATTGTAAAATAACAAAGAACTCATCATCTATGGTACATAATATCATTCAAATACTCAGAGAATCCAGGGCTGGGGCATTAGTGCACATGGCATGGGTGACTTGCACATCTGTGAAGGCATCATTAATGCTGAATGATATTTACAGATTTTGGAGCAGCATATGCTGCCATCCAGACAACATCTTTTTCAGGGAAGGTCTTGACACGTATTACAGCAGCGTGGCTCCGTAGCGGTCTCCTCAGTTCCCAAACACTTACAGAGTGTTGTTAAAAGAAGAGGTGATGCAACACAGTGGTAAACATGACCCTGTCCCATTTTTTGGAATGTTTTGCTGACATCAAATTCAAAATGGGTATATATTTGGCAAAAAAAATATATATTTCTCAGTTTTAGCATTTGATATGTTGTCTTTGTACTGTTTTAAATTAAATATGGGGTTTAAGTGATTTGCACATTGTTGCATTCTGTTCCAACTTTTTTGGAAACGGGGTTGTATTTTAAAAAAATCAATAAAAAAATGTAATCATACATTATACTTTACTATTCTTTCAGAAAATCAAGACTGTTGGCAGGCTATGTGTCAGCTATTTCTCAATGGAAGTCAAAATTTTCTACAATTACATCAAGAAAAAATTTAATGAAAGATCTGAAAATCCTTGGTACTAAGATTCTAACAGATATACTTTGAGAAGCTGGGTTCTTTAGCTTAATATACCAAACCTGAAGTATGAAACCTGAGTGTAATGTTAGACTCTGAGCTCTGTTTTATCCCTCATGCAAACAGTCACTAAAGTAGCTTTTTATCACTTGAATTATCACTAAAGTTCATCCTTTTCTATCTCAGAGCAACGCAGAGAAACTTGTTTATTTGTCACAAGCAGAATTGATTACTATAATGCTCTTTTTACTGAGACAACAATCCATCTTCTACAACTCACACAAAATGCAGCAGCACAAATCCTAACAAAGACTAAACGGAGAGCTCATCTCACTTGCGTTTTGACAGAACCACACTGGCTACCTGTATCTTTCAGGTTAGATTTTAAAGTTCTGCTGCCAGTTTTTAAGGCTCTAAATGACCTTAATGCACCAGCTTACATCACAGGGAGTCTGCCTGTTTATGTTTCAGCACATGATCTTAGATCTGCTGATACTGGCCTTCTGCAAACACCTTCTGTAAAATACAGAAAACGATGAGAGACTATCAGTTATTATGTTTCCAAACTGTGGGACTCAAATCCACCTTTTATTAGACAGTCAAACTCAGTGCTTACTTTTAATAAACATTTGAGAACGTATCGCTTTAGTGTGTAATTGAAATTCTACACCTTGATCTATTATCTTATTTATCTTTTTAATTTGATTTGTTATTGTCTTATATGATTTTAATTTATTACTCATAATTTCTTCTATTACTGTTAAGCTTTATCACCTGTCTGTAAGGCACTCTGAGCTGCCACTGGTGTGAGAAGCGCTCTATAAACAAAGATATAATTGAAAAGATTTTACTCTGAGCACTTTTGGACCATTTCTATTTGTCCAAACATCATGGCACATTCACACAATGCAAAGGGCAGCAGCTGTGTCCAGATTACATAGATAAATGGAATGAAAAATGGAAATGACATTATTTTGTATGATTAAACTGGTCTTTCTTAAGGTAAGAAGCATTTTTAGATGGGTAATATTATATATTATTATTATATAACTAAAATTTCATCACTTTAGACAAATCAGAATAATTGACATTTTTCCTCATCATATGAAATTTAGTACTTTGCCACAAATGTGTGCATTAAATTTTCTATTCTTTTTTTCAAAAAACTGATTACTCACTGAATTGTCAGAATACTATGTAGATTACTTGATTACTGATATAATTATAAGTGACAGCACTACTATTAAGAGATAGGATTGCACTGACCGTGTAAGACTCATGGGAAGGAGCTGAAGCAACAAACACACACACACACACACACTCATTCACAAAAGAGAGGCAGTCTGTCTGTAATTACATAATTAGCAGTTTCGCTGTGTTAGAGGCCGGCTGGGATTTGTTGTTGTTGTTACGATGTGTAATTAATTAGAGATAAATGTCGGTGGTGCTAATCCCTCAACTCAGCCTTTAACACTGACTCACTGACTCCTGCAGAGCTGGCCGTCTGTCTGTGTCTGTAAGTGCACGTGTCTCTTTTTACTCTGATCAAAGCCCTAAACCACTGTGTCATCACTGTCTCAATAGCTCAATGTTCCTGTGAAACTAGGGAGTATTATAAGATGTTCAAGTTTAAACCCTGTTTCTCAAAATGTGTTCCCTTAAGATTTTTTAAGATGTGTGTTACCTGATTTTTTTGGCATTGGCTCATTCCTTCCCTCACTCCTCTCCTACCTTGTACATTCTGCTATATCCTACATTTTTCTTGTATTTTATTCTTTCCTCTGATGCATATAACATTTCGTAATGTTTTATGTTTGTTAGTTTTCTATACCAAAAATTGTCATTCATTTTACATAGTTATTTTCCAAATCCACTTAAGCCCTTAGAATTAAACAGGAGTTTTTTGTTACTGTGCCTTTATAACTGATTTATGTTCTGATTGGCTGCTCTGTACTGTGCTTATTAAAGAAGTCTGGGCTGAAACACTCTTTCCATATCTTCAGCATGAACAGATGGGCTAAATAGCCAGATAAATGTAAAGCTGGTTCTTGTGACATCACAGAAACAGTTCATTTGAAGGCTGTTTTTTGCAACACAGTTTCCATGTTTGGACTGGACATCAAGCACTTTTAAAAAAAAAAAAAATGTCTTCTCCATCCTCCAAATTCACACACACACACACACACACACACCTTCTAAGCCGTTTATCCTTCTGGGTCGCAGGGGGAGCTGGAGCCTATCCCAGCAGTCATTGAGTGGAAGGCAGGATACACCCTGGACAGGTCACCAGTCCATCACAGGGCAGCCAGACAGACAGACATATACATTTTCCTCCAAATTCAGAATATCCAAAATTATTACACAGTAACTGACTTTAAATCCCAGGAGATCAGCAGTTTTTGAAATATTCAGACCACCTCATCTGGCACTAACAACCAAACTACAGTCATGTACAGCACTTTTTTTTGCATTCTGATTTTTTAAGTGAACATGAAGATTGGATAATTGTATGACTATGTAGGTCTACAGGTGTTCCTAGTAAAGTGACTAATTAGTGTATATTGTGTTGAATTATTAAACAAAAAGAACAGAAGAAAAACAATTGAAAGTTCTAATCTACAGAACGTGGCCTCTTCACTGGCAGCTAGCACTAAATGATGTGCTGTATCAGTTGCTGCTGACAGATGGATGAGGAGGGCAACACAGTGGTGCTTATAGTAAGGCCAGAACTGTTTTCACAGTGAGTAATGGAGCTGTTTTAGAGGCATATCGCTTTGGCTTTGCATCTGTTCCTTTGTCTACTGGAGTGATGTTCTTAGAGTTATTATTGTTGTTTTACTGTGTGTTTAATATTTATTAAGTTCAATTATATAATTGCATAATTAATGGCATATTTAGATACATGAGTAGTTACATTCATATTTGATTTACATTTTATATGTAAACTGCACTTTGACTTATTTCTTTGTTTTGATGTCAAACAGTAACCAAAACATGACAAAATGTAAAAGATGGTTTCGCTGTGTCCAAGATGTTGAACAGTGCAGGTTGTCAGGTGGTCCAGTCCTCTGTCTGACCACTCCGTTCTCCTTTTTCTCATCTCCTGTGATGCTGTCCAAGAATACGCCCCTCATTGAAGAACTTATTCACTGACATTCTTTAGTGATCATTATCTTTAATAAACCCTGTCTCGGTAGAGCCTTCGTCTTTAATGACCACTGGTCCATGTAATTGGCCGTGGTGAGTTATTCTCTCTTTCTTTCGGGATGACGTTTCTGCTTTTTTTCTTTTTGAATATGTGGCCCATTCGGCTGACCGCTCACACCACTTTAGAAATAGCTGTTAAGTGCAAATGAATCTGTGCAGGTGATTGAGAAATAATCTACACCTTAATGTTTAGTCACAGTTCATAGAAGCTGACATAACTAAATTACCAACCAACATAACCAAACTTTTTTCATAGTTATAACCTGTTTCTTTTCTTATTGTCCCCTGCAGAACGACTTAATCCCCCAGCAACAGTTCGCTCCCGAAATATACAGAGTGTTTCTCAATAACATCTGTCCCCGGAAGGACATCGATACCATCTTCTCAGAAATGTAAGCCGCTTCATGCTTCATGCTGAGTCCAGTTTTATGATGGAAATTGCTGTGTTACCTCCCCGCAGGAATGCTGGGAAGCTAGATAGTCCTAGAAAGAAACAGGCAATGGATACACAGCCACTCCTGTAATTCTGGACACTGCATTCTTGCAAATTAAACTCATAAATCAAATAGAGTGTTGGACGCAAGACGTGATAAGAGACTGAGTCATAGGGTAGAGTGTATGACGAATTGGCAAGGGCAAGCATATTAAGCTGCTCTAATTGTGCTTCATGTATCCTGTGCATTAAAACACATCATTTAGATGTCGACTCACAAATTTAAATAGTCATTTAGTCTTCAATCAGCTCATTTTCAGTACACAATGACCCCATAGACCTTTTCTCTTCACCTATTTGGTCTTCCTGTCCACTTGATGTCTTGCTTATTAGAAGTATAATGTGTTTGAATTCATATGACTGCGAGTATGTAGTCATTATGTTATCTACAGTGAAGACAGTGGAAAGTTGCAGTGGTTGTGTTAAGAAGTTCAAGCACTAGTTAAGCAAACAATCTAATTTGCACAACCTTCCCTTTCACCGTACAGTCAGGCAGCCAAGACTTGTTTGGTGTCTGCAGTTTTCATCCTTAGTTTTGCTACTGAGTTACAGTGCCACATATGAGAAATTCAGGCTCCAGTATGTGCGCTTTTAGTTTTGTTTAGCTATGCAATGCATTTTCTTAAATTTTTAGAGATAACAGTGTGTCATACAGTGTCAGCGACTTCATAAACACAAAGTTCTCAAACGTTGCATGTCATATTCCAATAATGCATATTGAGTATTGTAGTGTAGAACATGGATGAGTGAGAACACAAAAGTAATATAAAATTTTGAATCCTGTCAAGCTAAGGAGGCTGAGGGATCTAAAGCTGCATTACAGAGTATAACATAACATGACAGTTAACATTCAATGTTAGTTTTAGGCCGGAAAGCCCCTTTAACAGTTTCAACACAGAGACATGTCTGATGATTTAGATGCAGTTTGCATGATGCAAATTAGTGACTATGAGCTTCCATCACATTTAAGCTACATTAAAGGACCCATTTGTCTTTCATGCATTTAATTTTTCCTCTGAGGTCTGCTTATAATGTGAGTGTTCTTGTATATACCCAAAACGGTCAAAACTGACCATCTTCCAACCTTCTTAGGGGCTAAACTGGCACAGACTGGATAGGTGGATATATGTAAATGCACTGGTTTTCATGACATCACAGAAATAGTGAATTCAAAACAGACTATTTTGAAGCTTAGTTGTCATATTTGGGTTGTGGTGGCTGCAAAGTAAACAGTATTTTTTTTCAATGTTCATGTACTATATTAAACTCTTATGTAAAACAAGTGAGGAAAATTCAGTTTTCCACTATATGGGTCCTTTAACCTTATAGCTCCAGTGCAAAACTAAAGAAGCAAACATAGGACACCGAACATGTCATGGCTGATCAACTGCATTTGGGGTAAAACTGTGTAAATATGATTTTAGTTGAACTCTCACTTTAAAACATTTTTAAAATGTAGCATGCTGACAACTGTAGTGCATTTTGATGAATTTGTTCCATCAATTTGTCTCTTAAGTTAACTTTTCCTCTCTCTCTCTCTGTATCTCTCTCACTCCTGCTTTCGCTCCAGTGGTGCTAAGAGCAGACCGTACCTCACAGTAGAGCAGATGACAGACTTCATCAACAATAAGCAGCGAGACCCACGCCTGAACGAGATTCTGTACCCGCCCCTGAAGCCTGAGCAGGTGCAGGCACTGGTGGAGAAGTACGAGCCCGACACCATGCTCTACCAACGAGGTGAGTGAAGCCGCATGCCAATCAAACCACGGTGGCCCATAAACAGCACTTCTTTTTCATGAGTGAACGAGTGCAGCTGTGTTCAAGCAAGGCGAAATCAAGCGCTACCCTTGTGCTCTCTGTAGGGCTCTGAACTTGGCAGGGTCGTTGCCATAGTAACAGTTGTGCTACAAGAGTGCAGTGAGTTTGGTGGCCCAGTGGGACACTGTAATGGAATGTTAGCAATAGAGATGAGCTCTTACAGTAACGTGCACATGCACACATGCATGCACAGGGGGCTAAGAGTCTCCCTCCAAAGTCATGTTTACAAATTTATAGTCCCCACACAGCTGTCACTTTAATATGCATGGCTGTTACTGCCAGGACATACTCTGCACAAACACACACACGTGCTTTTATACAGTGTCAGGATGTGAGACGAACTGTTCCATATATATATATTATCAAATGTGCCAAATGTAATGACATGTCTCATACAGTACTGTACAAAAGTCAGAGACCACATTTTTGTGTATTTAATTTTCAGGAAAATTTATTCAGAAAGCAAATATTTTACAGGAAATTGCACAATAGCTTCCAATGCTAATATCAGATCTTTAACTTTTCTGTCCTTCCAGTCTTAAAACCAGCTGTGTCATCTTAACAAAAGCTGTTACTGATATTAAATTGAAGTGACCCTTATTAGTCCCACAACTGGGAAATTCCACCTCTGCATTTGACCCATCTGTGCAGTGAAACACCACATACACACTAGTGAGCACACACACTAGGGGGCAGTAAGCACACTTGCCCGGAGCGGTGGGCAGCCCTATCCACAGCGCCCGGGGAGCAGTTGGGGGTTAGGTGCCTTGCTCAAAGGCACTTCAGTCATGTACTGTCAGCTCAAGGGATCGAAACACAAGGCAGGAAGCAGACGTAGAAAGGAAGAAGTAGAAGGAAGCAGAAAGTAATGAAAATGAACAGGAGTTTCCAAAACTGGAGTTCAAAAATGTTATTTAAAGATACAGAGAAAATGGGACTCCTAATAACTGTGCAAGAGCTGCTAGACCACCAAAACTGTCGCCATCAGATAAACAGCACTTAAAGCTTTCATCTCTGAAAGATTCAGATCTGAAAAAATCCACAGGTATTTCTTTCCACTGTCAGAAGACAACACTATGGGTCTGAAAGGATATGTAGCTGTCAAGAAGCTGTTACTGAGAAAAGGAAACTTAGCCATTAATTTACACTGAAACTGGACATCTGAAATATGGAGTAGGGTTTTATACACTGATCAGTCTAAATTTGTAATTGGGGTTACTTGCATCAGGAAAAGCAGAAAATGCAACCAACTTCTGAGACTGAACTTTGGAGGTGTGGAAAAATATCCCTGCAGATTTCTTTAAAAAACTGAAAGCAAGTCTTCTTAATGAATGGAATGGAAGTTGTAATAAAGACAATGGAAGCACAATGGACTGACAAAATACTGAAAATTTTGATATTGTATTTAGTTGTTGGGACTTGTGTGTTTTACTGTTAGATATGTGTTTCCTGCTTTTTTCCTGGCACTGAAAAATGAATAATGTGTACTAAATGACAGTTTTGACCTGAAATTAAATAAATGAGAGGGTCGGGCTCTATCTCTGTCTATATGTAATAATACAACCTTATCTCCAAAAAACTTGGGACGCTCTGCAGAATGTAAATAAAAATACAATGCAATGATATGCAAATCATGTAAACCATATTTTTAAAGGAAACTACTACAAAGACAACATAACAAATGTTGAAACTGAGAAATTGTATCTTTTTTTTTTTATTATATGCCCATTTTGAATTTAATGCCAATAACACGTTCCAAAAAAGTTGGGACAGGGGCATGTTTACCACTGTGTTTCATCACCTCTTCTTTTAACAACACTCTGTAAGCATTTGGGAACCGAGGAGACCAGCTGCTGTAGTTTTGAAAGTGAAATGTTTTCCCGTACTTGCTTAACATAGGATTTCAGCTGATCAATAGTTTGGGGTCTCCTTTGTTGTATTTTTCATTTAATAATGCGCCAGATGTTTTCAGTGGCAACAGGTCTGGACCGCAGGCAGGTCAGTTTAGCACCTGGACTCTTTTAATACAGAGCCATGCTGTTGTACTACATGCAAAATGTGGTTTGACATTGTCTTGCTGAAATACGCAAGGCCTTCCCTGAAAAAGACATCGCCTGGATGGCAGCATATGTTGCCAAAACCTGTATATATCATTCAGCATTAATGATGCCTTCACAGATGTGCACATCACCCATGCCGTGGGCACTAATGTAGTCCTATACCATCATGAAAACTGGCTTTGGAATTGTGCACTGATAACAAGCTTAGTGATCTATAGCCTGGAGGACACAGCGTCCATGATTTCCAAAAAGAATTTTAAAGAATTTCATTGATTTGTCGGACCACAGGACACTTTTCCACTTCCCCTCAGTCCATTTTAAATGAGCTTGGGCCCAGACAAGGTGGCAGTGTTTCTGGATCCTGTTTATATACGGTTTCATCTTTGTTAGAGTTTTAACTTGCATTGGTGTATGCAGTGATGAACTGTTTTCACAGACAATGGTTTTCAGAAGTTTCTCTGAGCCCATGCAGTGATTTCCACTGCAGAATCATGTCTGTTTTTAATGAGTGCCATCAGAGGGCCCAAAGGTCATGGCAAGCAAATACTATTTTTTGGCCTTGTCCCTTAGATACAGAGATTTCTCAGGATTCTTTGAATCTTTTATGTTTTTATGTACTGTAGATGATGAAAAGTTGAGAAGCATTATTCTTGAATTTGCCCACTCAATCTTTCACAGTGCTGAACCCCTCCCCATCTTTACTTCTGAAAGACTCAGCCTCTCTGGGATGCTTTTTTTAGACCCAGTCATGTTACTGACCTGTTGTCAATTAACCACCAGGTGTTTTTTTAGCATTACACAAGTTTACCAGTCTTTTGTTTCCCCCCGTCCCAACTTTTTTGGAACATGTTGTTGGCATCAAATTCAAAATAGGCATATATTTTTCAAAAAACAATAAAATTTCTCAGTTTCAACATTTGATATGTTGTCTTTGTATTATTTTTAATGAAATATAAGGTTTAAATGATCTGCATATCATTACATTTTGTTTTTATTTACATTTTGCCCAGCGTCCCAGCTTTTTTGGAAATAGGGTTGTAATTTTGTAAGCCTAGTCCTATACATAAATTTTACTAGTAACCAAAAAAGAATTACTTTGGCCTTTTAATTTTTTTTTAAATATGTAGCTTTTGGGAAAAAAAGAAAAAAAAACACTTTTACCATTTTGTTCGTTGTTATATTTTCTATTAGCCTTCTTTTCTCTGTTTTTTTCTGCGAAGTCTGAACGTTTGTCCTGAAAATGTACAATAACAGGTATGCACACACACACACGCCATCACATTATCTCTTGTCTGCTGCACAGTGTAGTGTCCCCACTGGGATGGTTTTTGTTAAAACAGCTGCTGCACAGGCCGATTCAGTACTGAATCACACTCCCTGTCTGTTACGCTGCCAACTCTGCCTTCTGCTCACAACCCAGACACCCACATATGCACACACACATGCGCACACACACACACATGCATGCACAGTCTGTTCTGTTACAGAACTGCAGAGCTGAATCTGTGAAGTGGCTGTATGTTTTTTTTTCCTAACAATTATAACTAATTGAGTGGTGCCGACAGAGAAGCTCCTTAGATTTATGTTTTGTGTCTGTATAACTTCGTTCGTAGCAGACACTAAAGCCTGAGGCTGATGTTACACAAATCAGAACCAAGAAAAACTCTTTAAGTCAAAACTCTTTGAGTTAAATCATTCAGAAAAATGTATTTTGATTAAGAGGAGCCATCGTGGCCAGTGGCAGATTGCTCATCATCTGTAGAGCAGTTTGAAGCTGCGAGTGTCATATCTGTTTGCAGCATTTATTGTGCTTGAGGAGGCACTGCTGCTACCATCTGTTTGACAGTTCCTCCTCATGCTCCTCCTGCAGATCCTGTAGACTCTACTCATGAGTTTGCTCTTTTCCCCTCACTCTGACACTTCTGAAAAGGGCTTGTGCATGATTCAGAGAGAAGCGAGGCAAAGATCGTTCTGAATTCCCCATGTGCACCACCGGCACTCCCTGAACTGCGGGAGCTACAGCACAACTGAAAACTGCAGATGATGCACATCTCTGCATTTTCCAACAAAACAAACAAAAGAAACATACATCTAGAAATAAGAAAGAATATAGGGTCAATTAACACTTGGAACATTTGCAAGGGTTATCATTTTGCTATACAGTTGAATGTAATTATACAATGACATGATTCAGTCAGTCAGTCATCCTTATATGAGGTGGCTTTAGGCTTTCAGGATACTTTCCTTAAAAGATTTAACAGAAAGACAGGAAAGTTATTACAGTTATATATGATTTACATTCTGTACAGACAGGTTCAACTCTGCACTTATTTTTTTTTCTTACTTTTTTCCCCTTTTTTTAATATCAGCAAATGACAAAAAATGTAGACAGTATGAACTGAATTCAAATCTTCTACTCATGTTTTTTATTCTGTCATGTGAATCTCAAATGTTCATGATGTCATTATTTCACCAGCCACAACAAGGGCTCACCAATGTGTATGTAATATATTGCAAAGCGGATTGCATTTGCAGTGCATAGCAGTATAATCGCAATATGTCGTTCTGTAGCCCTAACTTTAACCCCTTAAAACCCTGGGCGTATTACGTACTAAGGCTTTTTATTCAGTAACTACAGGGACTTCAATGCAAACTAGCTGAGCTGTTTGTGTTGAATGTGTTAATAAACTTTGGACATTTCTAGCCATTTAAGGACTTAAGGAGAGTTTCACCAAAAAGTCATAGCCCCATCATTTGATCACTGGAAATAAGAGTGTGATAAAGCCCAGGATTCTGAGAGATATTTTCACTTCTTTAGGACTCCACTCAACTTCTTAATTGTGCTCTACATCAGATTCTATAGTTAATTGCACAGACTGTGTCTTCGTCTCCAATCCCAGTGCAGTGCTCTCAGTGTGGTCTTCATCCACTTTGTTCCCTCAAAAGCCTGAAAAGGTGAGGTCTCGCTGAGATGAAAGTCACTCTCCATGCCCTCATTAGGGAGACCGTGTTCAGATGTCAGAGGAAAAAGCATTGTTAATTAGGTTGTGAAAGTCTTCCGAGGGCATGGCGGGATTAATTAGCGTAAAGTGGCCAGAGGGACTGAGGGGATCTCCCCTAGACTGGAGCTTTACCTGGAAGAGCTGGAGGCTGTCTTCCTCATCAGCACTCACCTGTCAGTAGATCAGACATCTAAACGTTCAGCAATCTTTGGCCGTCACTGACCATCACACTAATTGGTAGAAGGCATGGGCTAGTTTTATTCTAGCAGCAGTTGAAGTGTCACGGGTTTCTTTTGTCTTTGTGCTGCCCATTAATTGTGAAAAGTGAAAAACATTCTTGTACTTTTCTATATTTCCTCAATGTAAAGTTCAGTAAGAAAGTAAAATGCCGGTTTTTAGCTTTAATTACAGTGTACATAGATGCTTATTGGGTATTTAATAATTCCCATTTTAGGGGGACCAAAAGGAATTGGACATTGACTTCTCAGCTGTTTCCTGGACAGTTGTGTGTCTTTGCATCATTAGTTTATTCAAAAAAGATCTTGAGCTAATTCTAGATTTGGTATTTCCATGTTGCTGTATCTTTTCAGTGTGATGACAGGAGATCAGAATGAACCCCTTAAAATCCCAGGCTTGTTACATAGTAAGGCTTATTAATGAGTTACCAAAGGGACTTCAGTGCAAACTGGTTGAGCTATTCATAGGTTATAGAAGTGTGTAATAAAACTTTGGCCCTGCCAGCAGGCCCTGGCCATGTTAAGGGTTAACTGTTTAACTGAAAGCAAGGAAGAACTGGTGGGCTGGCACAACCTGGCACACTGTGGAGAGCCACAGTAGACCACTCAAGTAGCCAATTGCACATGTGCAAGCGTGCGTCATAGTTCTGAAGTGAAATTTAAAGGTAACTACCAAATCTTAAAAACTTATGACGGCTGAGCAATAATAAACAATACGATGCACAACTACCACACCCATGCAAACCCCAGCAACAAAACAGCTTTACACTACATGTCCTTAATTTTATTTTAAATCACACATGCCTGTATTTAATGTTCAACAGGCAACATTTGTGCCTCGTTTTAAAAGAGCTAGAGCAGAAATGCATTTTATTTAGTTTATTTTAAGATAACGTTAAGATAGTTGTCAGTATTCTTGACCCTCTAAACGTGAAATATTATTATTTTCAAGGGAGCTCAGGTCTCCTTAGGAGACCTAAGCTCTTGCTGTCTCCCGAACACTAATGTGGCGGATGGTTTTGATAGCATGTATAAAAACCATATCTGAAATTTAAGCCCAAAGGTCTATGATCTGTCTCTGCAAATTCACCTGCCATTTCAGCCATTGTGATTTTCCTGTTATGCAGTAGAATCAGTGCTTCCCTTTCACAGCATGAGTTAATTCCAACTGCTAGTTCACTGTTTGACTAGCAAAATAGTCACATAAAATGTGACCTCAAAATCACCAATCAGGATGAAGAATCTCTGGAGAAACTAAACACACAGAATGTGTGTATTTGATTACATTTTTTTAAATGTAACAGGAAGAAAGTAGATGAATGTAACATAGAAAAGCACATTCTTTCTTTACTAATTTGTTCAAATAGGAGTTGAAAGCATCCTCTATTAAAAAAATCATAGTTTATTGAAAAAGTTACAAAACCCCTTAAAATCCCAGGCTTCTTACATCTAAAGGCTTATTTAATGAGTACATGAACTGCAGTGCAAATTTCCTGAGTTATCATGAAGTGATAGATGGGTTTGGTAGATATTTGGACCCCCCCAGTGGGTCCTGGGCTTTTAAGGGTTTAGGTAAATGTAATGGAGTAAATGAAACACTGAAGGCCAGAACACAGTTTCTTAATTAAGCTTGAAGATTCACTTGTAGCCTTCCAGCCAGTGACCGCTGGGATAGGCTCCAGCTCCCCCCACGATCCAGAAGGATAAGTGGCTTAGAAAGTCTGTGTGTGTGTATGATTGACTTGTAATGGAGTGATGGAAAGAGGAAGTTGTGGAGAAAAAACAGAATTGTTCATGATCCATGTCATTACCTCCTCTTCTGCTTAACTTGATAACATGGATCTGTATGGCTGCCTTTCTGTCTTTATTAATGATGTGATGGATGACCACACCAGCAGGGTTAATTCTGAAGTGTATAGAAGCATCTTAAATGCTCTGATCCAACCAAATCACTCTATTGCTACTAAAGCATCTATGGATGTTTTTAGAACCAAGACATGGAATGTTCTTGACTGGCCAAGTCAAGCAGGAACCCAAAAAGGCTACATTGGGCTGGACAGTCCCACGGTGATGTCTAGGGTCACTGCTTTCACAGACTTCAGGCAGTCAATGATTGCAAGAAGGTTGCTATTTAACAATTTTATTTATGGCAATTTGTCCCTTTTGTCCCCTGAGCACACAGGGAGACTTTACATTAAAATATGTATAAACCCTAAAGGAAAAAGGACATTCTGCACTCTAACATGGTCTTTGTCTCATTTTAAATTCAGTGTGCTGTAGTGCAGAGCCAAAACAACATACATTTGTCACTGTCCACTTAATTACAGACTCCACTGTGCAACACAGCTGTAAACCAGTCCTTTAAAATTAGAGATTTGTCCCCTTCATATTTATGTAAGTGTGTTCTTTTCCACTGCAGGCCAGATTTCTGTGGAGGGCTTTGCGAGGTATCTAAGTGGAGAGGAGAACAGCATCATTCCTCCGGAGAAGTTGGACCAGAGTGAAGACATGACACTCCCTCTTTCTCACTACTTTATTAACTCCTCCCACAACACCTACCTCACAGGTCAGCCAACCAGACTGCTTTTGCAACCCATTTGTTAGGCTTTAGGACACTGAAACCTGGTCAGGAACCCTCAAGTTGAACATGCTTCATAATACAGTCTGTGTATTTGCAGATAAGATAGTCATATTCTTTCCTTCATTGATGCTCTACAGGACTTAGTCTTAATTATTATTAAACTCAGATGTTTCTGCATTAGGTATATGTACTAAATATTGAGGATTTGTCAGAGCCTAAGAGAGCGGAGTTCCCTATGAAACATTTATTATCTTTACTGCAGCCTCTTTCAAATGCTAACTTCATTAATATTTATCTAATGTGTGCACCACATAAATATTTCTCAAAGGCTTGTGATGTAGACGGTGATAAGAGTAAAACTCAAATAGGAGTGTCACTGTTTGATCCCGAGGCTTGTATTGTTTCACATCAACTTCAGTATCTTCTGAAGTTGAGGTGGTGATATGAAATGTCTTGAATTTGTCTGGAACATATTTGAGGAGATACATGACAGGCCCTGCCAATACCAGGCCATTTCTTCAGGGCATCTAAAACCACAGCATGAGGCATGGTCAAATGTAAAATGGAATTAGTACACAAATTGCTGTCATGTACAAATTACGGTAAGTATGCATTCACAAAACCGGATGCCAAGCCTGTTCTCATTTACTGATTGTCCTAATGGACTTGTTCTCAGAGAAAGACATCAATTTAAAGTATATGCAGCCACAAACAATTAGAGGATAATGCAGTATAGATGTCTCTGGAAGTTGTCGGGTTCAGAATTAGACAAAAATGCATTTACTGGAAAAGCAGAAAGGTTTTTTATCTGGAAAATGACCTTTGAAATGTCTCTGAGGCTAGTTACTGTGCTGTAGTATTATTATGCTAATAGGGAAGTAATTGCTTTGCTAATGATGCTAATACAGTTGGGGTCAGGTCTGTCACACCCATTCTTTCCAAGAATCCTTGGATATCTTTTTGAACATGAACTATGTGGTGAATTTTGTGGGTATGGGTGTGTGCGTATAATATGCTTTTTTTAACTCTTTTTTTTTTTTGAAAATTGTATTGTATTTCTTTAACAGCAACTCAAGCCTCTATACAGTGAGGGGAAACAAGTAGTCAGGCACATTTGTTGTTGTTTAATATACTTCTGGTGCATATATCCACTTTATAGTTATAAATATGAAAAAAAACTTACTAAAAAAACGTATTCAAAAGCATCAACACGTTTAAAAAATGAAGTTGACATGGAAAACAGTGTTCAGACACTTTATTAAAAGATACATATATGTAAAGGTTAAGAATATAAATAAATAAAGTTTCACATATTAGTACTGCAAACTTAAAATGTTGATTTCACCTGGTGTCTTTATAAAAGATGTTGCCATTGGTTGGGAAGACTTCATGCCACAAGTAGCAGTCATGGTGAAGGTGAAGAAAATTCCCAAAGTTCTCAGGGCCATCATTATTAAACAACACTCGAATAGAAAAAGTTACAGAGCTCTAGCAAAGACCTTAAAAACGCCTGTCAGTACAGTTGATTCAATAATGTGCAATTGGAAAATTTCCAGAACCACAACTAATTGTCCCCAAACAGGTGCACCATGCAAGATTTCTCTCAAAAAAGGATAAAGAAGGTAAGAGAGAAGCCATCTGTCACTCAAAAAGAGTTACAGGATGACCTGAAAGCAGCAAGAACAACAGTTACACAGGGATTATTTAAGCAATAATCACATTATTAATGCACAATAATCGCCTCTGTTCCTACACCTTCTAAAAAAGAAGCACAGAGGTGCCTGTCTAAAATTTGCACACGAGCATTTAGACACGTCAGAACTCTTTTGAAACAATGTACTCTGGTCACTCAACACAGCAATAGGTTCAGCTTAACATGTCTGGTGGAAGAAGGGTCGATGATTCCAAGAACACCGTACTCACAGTGAAGTACAGAGGTGGGGGCATCATGATATGGGGCTGCTTCTCTGCACACAGTACTGGGGCAATGAAACTGGTACTGGAAAAAGTACTAATGTTGTTAAATTGTGCTGTTTTATCCCTATCAATTTTGTGTTTTAAAGCTATGATTACATGCTTTTTGTTCATATTTTAAGTACAAAGTCATACCGTGTGTGTAAATACACAAGTGATGCTCCTTTAGTGACTGATGGCTGTGTAATGATGTATGGTGCTGTATAATTTTGTGTTCTAAATACCTGTATGATTTCTCCAGCGGGGCAGCTGGCGGGGAACTCCTCGGTGGAAATGTACAGGCAGGTGCTGCTGTCCGGTTGCCGCTGTGTGGAGCTGGACTGCTGGAAGGGCCGCACGGCTGAGGAGGAGCCCATCATAACACATGGATTCACCATGACCTCAGAAATCTCCTTTAAGGTAAACTTGCCCATGTGGATGAAAAGAAAAGTGTTAAGTGTGCGTTGATTTAGGCTTGTAGTATTGTACGTATTCTTTCATTACTTGTTAGCTACACTAGCCCCATAATTCCAGTGCAAAATTCACTCCAAACCTTGAGCAAATTTGATTGTTTTGATTAACTGTTAATTGTCAGTAAAAGTATACTTTCTCAGTGATGGTAAAATCTGTAAAATTACAGCCATTTACTCGGAAATACTGCCTTTTATTGCCATTGGTCAGTTTCAATAGTTCAACTAGTTATTCTGACGTACAGTATTTTGTCATAATGAAAACAATAACAAATGTTAAAATAAACTCAAATGTCTGTAAAAAAAAAAAAAAGTGATCAGTTGTTTTTGTGAATTTATATTCTTTTTCTATCTCAGGTATTGACCTTTAAATTTTACAGGACTTTGACTGTGAAAATCCTTTTTTTTAACCATAAGGGTTTTTTACCATAAGGTCTTTATTGTAAGGGTTTGTCTGTGTGAAAAAGAGAGTTTTTCAAACAAATTCACCCCTTAATGAGCATGAGATAAACTAGAAAGACAGAAAAATGGTCAAGAGATAGAGTGACAAAGGGGAAAATGTGATAACAGATGGGATAATTGGTTCGGCACAGAATACTAGGAAAGCAATGAAGTTGAGAGTAAATGCATGAAGTTCATTTGCACTCTTTCATTAGGTCATATGGCTTCAGAATGAGTCTAATCTCCCACTGTAATAATCTCTGATGACACGGGTTAAGAGACTTATATTGACTTCTAATAAGATTCCATTTCCAGCCTGAGTGGTATTAGAAATATCTCCAGTTCTCTCATCAGCATTCATGTCAGTAGGCTGGAAGGCCATGATAGTGCCTGAAAGCCTTCTGAAGCTTCTTGACGATGATTGCACAATGCAACCTGTCTTTTCAGGAAGTGATTGAGGCCATTGCGGAAAGTGCGTTCAAGACGTCCCCTTTCCCTGTCATCCTTTCATTCGAGAACCACGTGGACTCGTAAGTGAAAGATGCTTTCTTCCTGAGCAATTAGGCTGTCCGGTTCCTCTATAATGGTCTGAGTCACTTGATGAGGCTAAAACAAGCTGTTCATGTTGATCAGAGCAGCGTTACATAAAGGTTATGTGAAATATGCCTCTATAAGCATACAGGATGAGTGCATTACTAGAATGCAATTTTAAGATTTGGAAAGCAGACTTGTAAATAGGTTGTGCCTTGACACAGTTGTGAAATTGAATTAGAGTGTTTTTCTTTCCTCCAGACAGCGGTGAGTTAATGTAAATGTGTGGGGTCATGGCCGTGGAGTTGATTGTCTGTCTGTTTGTCTTGTCTTCCTCAGCCCCAAGCAGCAGGCCAAGATGGCTGAGTACTGCAGATCAATATTTGGAGACGCTTTGCTCACAGAGCCATTGGAGAAATACCAAGTGAGTTCAGACCACATGCACTAAATGTGCCTTTTTGCAGTCGATAAGTTTATACACAGACCTTATCTAACGCTTTGTTGATTTTCATTGTATTTATTCACTGTATACTGATGTAGCAAAGTGTTTTGGGATTGAATTTAGTCCCATAAGCCTTATAGTACTGTGCAAAAGTCAGAGACCACCCTTTATTTTAACTTCTGGTCCAAATGACCAATAAGTAAAAGTTGCAAAACTTTCATGACATATTTTTGTTGAAATTAGATATAAGATAATCAACTTGCATATCATTGCTGTCCAAAGAAAAACAAGTATCTCCAAAATAGTAACTTTACAGGAGAGGGCAAAAACATTCTTTACTTTCAATATAAGTTAATGGAAAGAGATTTTATTCTAAGCAATTTTGGAGAATTTCTATTGTTCCAATCATTATGAAATGTTTACATAATGTAAGGACAGTTGCTGAGCTCAAATGATGTAGAAAATTGCAAATTGCAAAAAATGAAGATACATGTTTTTCATTGGACTGCAACGATGTGGAAGAGGAATGTCAGAAGAAAATAAGTGGAAACAGAAGTTTCCAAAACTGAAGTGAAAAATGTAAAGTATTAAAAGTTATTAAGAAAATGGGACTCTTAACAACTGTGCAAACCTCCAGAACTGCCACCATCAGATAAACAGCACTTAAACTTTCATCTTTGGAAGAGAGGAGAAAATCAAGCTCCACTCTTACTTCAGGTCTGAAAAAAATCCACAGGCATTTCTGTCCATCCTTCCACTGTGAGAAGACAACTCCACACTCTGAGTCAGAAAGGATGCGCAGCTGTCAAGAAGCTGTTACTGAGAAAAGAAAATACACCAGAAGAAAATTTGCAAATCAATCAAAGAATCTGCCGGCAATCTCAGAACCAGACCTCACCATCCCTCAATGTGTTTGGGATTACTTGGATCATGAGAAGCAAAATTTGCAACCAACTTCTAGGCCTAAACTTTCCAAACTGGAAATTTTCTTTAAAAAAACTGAAGAAATGGAAGCTGTAATAAAGGCAAAGGGTGGACACACTAAATACTTCTATTACATATCACATAATAGCCTTATTCAATGTTTAATTGCTGTTTTGACTGAAAATTATAATGGCTGATCTCTGACTATTACACAGTACAATACAAGCAGGCATTCACACGAATTCATGCCAGGCACTTTGTCACCACTGCACTGTATGCTCAAACAATAACTCTAACACGTAGTTCTGTATGTTCAGTACATAAACAAGCGTTCTCCTGCGTCACCAGCACCTCTCTGAGAGCCTGAATGAAGCCTTTGAAGGGGCCCTATGAAAGAAATGGTGCTGTTTACTCGAGGTCCCTTTTCATCTCCCTCCAATCACATGTTCCTTAGTATCGGACCGCCCTATCAGCCCTGCGTTTATCAAATTGCAGCGAGTCGCTCTCTCGGAGCAGATTAAATGGAAATATGCCACCAGCTAATCTAAATGCTAGCTCTTGGCAAGCCTTTATCTCCTTCCCCCTGCCCCAGTTGTCATAGTGACTGGTCAAAAGCATGCTTTGTGCTATTGTAGAGGAACTTGCTGAGCCTCTGTCACTTGTCCTCACGTAACCACTTTCCCTGTGCCTCTCTCCTCCTTTCATCCCAACTCTTTCACTCATTAAGAAAGTGTTTTTGACATTGTGAGTGACATGTGGGAATACGTTTATTGTGCCATTGGATTTATTATGTGCAGGATCTTGACCAGGGCACTACTGTAGCCTCTGTGTGGGAGACTGTGTGTGAAGTTCAGCTTCATCTCTGAGAGAGAGACCAACTGTCCAACTGTGAAAGGCCAACTGTGCTTTATATCTGAGTAATCTCCACAACGCTTTCCTGCACTGAACAAAGTGATGCGGTGAATATGCTTAAATCAAACTAGTTTATCATTTCCACATCAATAAAAAATATAGCGCTGCAACAAATATTGTATAATAATTAAAGCATAAAAAAGGGAAAAAACATTCAAATAACTAACATGTTTGTTCCTTTTATGAACCCACACTGTCTGTGGGGAAACAAACACGTTTGTTTATCAAGCCAAATCCTAAGTTAGTCACCAATTGCATGCACAAGTTTGAAGTTCTGCACACTGGTTTGTGAATTGGCAGAGCTTGTGAGACTCTTGCAGTTTCAGGCAACAGTAACAGTTTTAAATCCAGGTGCAATGCAAATAATTTCCCTACTGCTTCGGATTGCCACATAGTTAGCCTGTTCTCATTTGCATTTATTACAGAGAATAAATGAGAGCTGTGAACTGAGATGAACAGAGATAAAGCCAACAAGTTTAGTGTGTGCTCCAGTATAAAACAGTTTTGAATGGCCTAAACATCTTCATCATTCCCCCTGTTCACTGACAAGAGAACAAAAAAAAAAAAACGTTTCATTATTAGTGCTGTTTCTTCTGCTTACCTGCACCATTCACTGCCATTCAAACAGAGCCAGCAACCTGTTCAGGGTTGCCAGATTGGGTACAGTCTCTGGTTATTGTACAGTTTTTGCACTATTACTACTAGTTCTAGTATTACTACTACTACTACTACTACTAATAATAATAATAATAATAATAAAAATAAAATGTGAAATTTTGGTAACAGTAATAGTGCAAACAATTAAACAATAAGAATGAAGGCTTTTTTCATTTTTTTATTGTTGAAGTGAAACGTCTTGAGGTTTTTGAGGCTTATTCTTCATATTGAATAGGATATTTAAAAATAAAGATATTTGATTGTTGCAACCCTCAAAATATATTACATCGATACATTTTGTCTTTCTGTTTACTTGTGCCAACTATGATGTTGATGTAATATATTTTGTTAATGTGGAAATGATGTACATATTTAAATTAAGTACATTTCGCTGCTGTCAGGACAAAAACTTGTATCTCCAAAATGAGCATTTTACAGTTTAAGGGAAAAAATATACTTTACTTTTAATGTAAGTCAATGGAACCAGAATTTTTTCCATTTTGGGCTGTTTCTTTTGGTTCATTTATCATGAAATGTAAATGTAATGTGCACAATGTAAAGTGCAACATTTTCAAAATAAGGAAAAAAAAAAACTTTTTCACTGTAATGCTTAAAGAAAAAGAGTTAAACACACTTGTTTACCAAGCAAAACAGTTCCAGGGCTCTGGTTTGCCACAGACTGTTCGCACCTGATTAGTCTGCTTCTGGAAATCAGAATGGAAAGATCTGGGTTTAGGATAAAGATAATTGCTTTGAGCCACCCCCCAACACACACACATACACACACACACACACACACACACACACACACACACACACACAAACACTCCCTCTCTTTTCTTACAGCTGTTCCTCTGTGTTTGAATGCAGCTTCTTGTTCTTATACATTATTAATAAATGTAAACACTGTGAGATTAAAAGGAATTTTCCCCATGAGTAAACTGCCCCCTTCAAAAACATGTAGCATTTACCCAAACACGCCACACCTCTTCTGTCCTTTGCTCTCTTTTAGCAGGGAACTCTTGAAGACTTAAAGTCTTTCATGTTTGGGAGCTTTTAACAGCTAGCTGCTCTGAGACTCCAGTACGACTTCAGAGTATAAAAATAGGCTACTTATTTAAAAAAAAAAAAAAAATGCAATAATTCAAAATCAGGAGGCCATGGGTCTCTGAAAAAGCAGGGAGGAATTTTCCTTATCTTCATCTTCAGCTCCAGCTGTACAAACCAGAAGAGTGCACATTTTCAACCTGAAGCCTTTTTGCTGGAGGGACTGCTTAAATAAATTAGAAATGATAATTAGTGATGGCTACAGCCAAAGAAATAATACAGCAAAGTGTACACAGAGCATTAACTCAACAATCAATACGAGACACAGTCTATTAAACTATATAGAATTGAGCAAAACCAGTGAGCCAGTAGGCAGACAAAATGCATAGCTTTTAAACTGCAATGTCCAGTGCATTAATTAGACAAAGTTAAAAACAGTTGATGGCTATTCACTGTCACGGCAAAAACAGGATAATGAACCTGTGAGAACTTCTCTTCACTCACTCTTAAGGAACAGTTTTCATTGGTTTGTTAACTTTAATAACTGGGATGCAAGTATATGATATGAAGTTAAAACTAATAATAGCCATAAATCAACTTTAAAAAGCAAAACATACTCATAAAGGATGGTGCGCACGGTGAAAATGTGATATATTGAATGTACTTGAAAAGTGTATCTCATTCCTACATGAATAAAATATCTTACGTCAGTATAGCTTTGTCTTTTAGTTTACTTTTGACAATAATTGTGTTGATATATTTTATTGATGTGGAAACTATGTATTATTTACATATGTATCTATGTATCTATCTATTATTAAACACTATTTATGTGTTTGCAACAGGTAGATTCAATGCATCACAATTTTCAGTGCCTGATCACTTTCACGTGAAGTTGTTGTTGTTGTTGTTGTTGTTGTTGTTGTTGTTTTCACTCGGTGGGTCTTGGGTCTTCTTATTGCCCACTGTTCAGATCTTTACACAATACAGGGGCTGTTTCAAGGAGGGCAATCTTCTGTGCTGCACCTGTGCATCAATTGCATTATTATTATTATCAATAATAAATAATAATTATTATTATCAATAATAAAGACTTCAAAACTATTTGAAGATTTTATTATTGATAATGATAATAATAAGAAGAAGACTAAGAAGAATGGTTGCTAGTATTATTATTATTAGTAGTATTAGTAGTAGTAGTAGTAATAGTAGTAGTATTACAGCAATAACGTTCTAAATTAACTAAGACACTTTTTCAGAAACTGACGCACATCTCCTTCCTCCCCCTCTCAGCTGGATTCAGGAGTTCCTCTTCCCAGTCCAATGGACCTCATGGGTAAGATCCTCATCAAGAACAAGAAGAACTCCCACAAGGATGAGGGCAGCACAAAGAAGAAGCTTTCAGAGCAAACCTCCAATACCTACAGCGACACGTCCAGCATGTGTGAGCCGTCCTCTCCCAGTGCAGGTATTCTGCCTCCTGATTCTATTGCACCTGTATAATACTCAGCCATTGAGCACATCTCACAGTATCTGCTGTATGAATAGAGTGACTGTGAAAGTATTACATTAAAATATGTCTAGGTAATGAGATTTGCACATGTTTGATTCATTCTCTGTTCTGTAGTTATTACTGCCAGTTGCATTATACACAAGATGGAAAGCAGTAGTCAGCTATAGTTAGCAGTTATATTATGACATAGCCTACAGCAGTGAGAAGGTTTAGGATAAGGATTGCTTAGGTCCACTCCCAATAACACACACAGTCTCTCTTTTTCTCTTTCTTTCTCTACCTCCTTGTCGCTGTGCCTTTTGCGATTGCATGCAGTTTTTTGTTCTTATATATTATTAATGAATGTAAACACTTTGAGATTTCAAGGGATTTTCCCCAAGTGCCCTGTTGAAAAACAAATATGCCAAACTTCTACCGTCCTCTCCTCTGTTTCAGTAGAGAACACTGTTCTTTCATGTTTTGGAACTGGCCACTGTGGGACTGCAGTACCACACCAGAGTGTAAAAATAGTAAATGAACAATAGCAGTAGTGTTATAAAATGAGATACCACAGTGAAATGCAACACACGTGATTTGTTGTGTATCCTAGCCTTCCTACTAGTTTAGTCATATTCCAGCTTTAGAGTGGACTGTGTCTACAATTACTTCTGAGAAACAGTGCATTCAGTTGCTGTTTGTGCCGCTGACACCCAGGGCTGAATGATAGCGGGCAGCTTGGTTGATACTTTTAACACTTGCTTTCAAACACAATCACAGAGACATGCATCAGCAGCTCCCTCTAGAACTCACCTCCTGATAGCCAAATATGATACTGCCCTCTGGTGGCCAGTCAGCTTCAACACCAAATCAAATAAGATTGAGATGGATTAACACCAGTCTCTCAAGCAGTCGAATAATACATTAATGATGGTGTCCAATAGTTTTAGGATTTAAGCATTAATTTTAGCATGCACATTGAATGTGGTGAGGCACTGAATTTCATTTAAATGTGTATATCATTACCATTTGAATACAATGACATCAGCACAGTTTTGTCTTTCAGTTTGCTCACTTTTAGCAGTAATTGTGTTTATGTAATATGTTTTGTTCATCTGCAAATGATGTAGACATTTGAATCATGTAATTTCAGTTGATCACTTTTGTCAGTGCCTGATTACTTACACATGAAAAGTTTAGCTTTATACTGTCAGCAGCAATAAAGAAATTGGCAAATGTCTTGGAAAGTTTGAATCAGTGGTTTTTTAGCCTTGTTTGTTGCTTAATATATCAGAATAAAAACATGTATACTTTGTATTTCAATTCTTAGCTTTCAATTTAATGTAAGAGGAGTTTTATTTCATTTTATTTCATTTCTGGACCATTTCTATCGGTCCACCATGCGATTAGACACAGTGTAAAAGACAATAAAGATAGAGATACAAGGATTTGTTTGTACAGTAGTGATATACGGTCACATGCAAAAGTTTGGGCTTTCCAGGTCAAATGTTTTGGTCAAATTAAGTAAAAGTTTACACATCCTCTACAGAGAACACACTTATGCACATTTTAATGCACAATTTCTGTTTATTTGCTGAATTTAACATAGTTACACATAAATAACACATTTGTCCAATGCAGAAGTTATATTTGTATTTATCTGTTTACTTTTTGTCCGCCCAATGAACGCTGGGATAGGCTCCAGCTCCCCCCGTGACCCAGAAGGATACGAGGCTTGGAGAATGTGTGTGTGTGTTTAATTTTTATAATCCTGTAGAGGAAGTATTAACTTATTTTTACCTACAAAATCAACAAAACTTGTCATTTGACTTATTTAAACTTTTGCATATGATTGTTTTCTGAAAAAGCTGTGCTTTGAATTTACATGACTCACACGTGTCTTGCAGGGTTGTACATGAATGAAGTGTGTTACATCCCATATGTCCAGCATAAGGTCCACAGGCCAGATCAGGCTCACCACACAATCCTATCCGGCCCACAAAAGTATTTTAATTATCTATTAACATTAGCCCATTTCACAAACACTGCACTACAGTCCCCAGCATGCACTGCAATCTAATGTGCTCTGACTCTCCTACCCCAGCAACAGTGTATGGGACAGCAGTTACACCTCAATTCTACACAATTCTGCACAATTCCAGTCCAGTCATATCACCAAAATGCATTTCTGCTGCTGTTCAACCAATATAAACACTTAACATTAACTCAGCAGCTCAGACGTTGAGACCAAGTCTTAAAGAACTTGCAGCAAAAAAAGGATACCAGGTGTCTAGTTCAAGCAAATAGGTAGGTTTAAAAGACAGAGCACCTGGGGACATTTAAATTTTGAATATTTCAAGTGTCCATATAATATTTCGAGGTCTACTACAAGTGTTTGTATTATACTGTTGACGTTTTTTGCATATTTTGAATAAACAGTGTCAGTTTGGGTTACAGCACAACATTAACTAAAAATGAAAGAAAAATATTTTTTTTCTCTGGCCCACAGATTTGATGATATTTTTCAATATGGCCCTTTTACTGGTTGAGTTTGACAAACCTCTGTTACACCAACACAATGCTTGTGCAAAAAGATGAAAGACAGCATATGTATGCAACTGTTTGATACATTTAAATCATGCAAATTCAAAGAACCATTATTCCTGTGTATCACATCTAATGGAATATGATATTATATAATCTCTCTATTTCCTTCATCTAATATTAGATGTCGGTTTTGTGCTGAGTTCTGTTGAACTTCTACTGTAAAAGCCAGTTCATGTTTCCAGTATGCAGATGACTGCAGCTGTTGAATGAGGACACAGTTGGGAACATCTTGTGTGCAGACTTTTCAGACATCATAACATCAGTTATCTTAACACTTCCAGCTTTCAAACCATCCAGTTTAAAAGCATCTCATATTTTCCACATTTAGCCAGCAGTGAATTCGTTTCATCTGTGTGACAAACTTGCGTGAAGTGTTTTGCTGCTAGTGAAGATCTGTTATTCCTAAGAAACATGAGACGAGAGGAAAATAGAGTCTCTGTCTAGTTCAATGTGGCTCTTAATTTACAGCCTAAAGTGTTGGAATTGTGTGTCGAAGGATGGTGTCAGGTGCTAGCAGGGTTTTGGCTTGTGCATTTGGAAGTGACAGAATCTGGACCTCTTCACAGGCTCTATGAATCAGGAGCTACCCGAGTCCAGTCAGCCCAGCTCAGAGGTCAATGACAGCAAGCCTCAAGGAAGAAAGTCAATTGGTGAGAACACATTTAATGTGCTATAGCAACCAGTACATCTGAAATACACCGACTATACTTACAATAAGTATTATAGGTGTTCATGGATTAATATATAGTTAGTTTCTTTAACTGCATAGGGGCTTCATAACACATGCATAAGCATTGAATAACATATTCATTAACCAATACTTTAATATTTATGAAAAGGTTATGCCAGTAATCGCAAGATGACCTAAGACGTTTTATGAAGTAAGTGATACTGTATTGACTGTAATGATATAAGCAGTCTTAAACTGTAGTGAGACATCTGTTCTGTTTATGAAGCATCATTACCAACAATGAAACTTTTAAGGCAGTGGTCTAGTTCAGAGCACCCATGTTAGTTCTATGAAAGATTTTGATTAAAGTCATATTTTCATGCATATATCCCTCTACGTATGAATATTTATACATGTATATATACACCAATGAGACAAAACATTGTGACCACTTACAGATGAAGCAAATATTGTTGATTATTTCATATTAGTGGCACATGGAATATATTAGACAGTAAGCAAGCGGTCAGTTGTCATAGTCTACATGTTGAACTCAGGACAAATGGGCAAGCGTGAGGACCAGTGACTTTGACAAGGGCCAGAGGCTTGTAATGTGAACATAGCATTAGTTTTATGGATAAGTAGCACCTCCTAGAAGGAAGAGTTTGGAAAAGATGGTTCGCTGGAAGAGGAGAATCTGTAATTATTCTGTTGGCTCGCTTTATGGTGTGCTGAATGTAAACAGAATCAACTGAAGAAAGTGATATTCCAGTTATTTTTGAAGTTTTAATCACAATACCAGACTGTAATAATTGACGTGAGAACACTCAACAATGGACGAATAAAATTTAACCACTAGATCTTTTCTGACTTTATATTTTTTTATCTCAAGAAGAACAACCTTTGTTGAGATTTTTTAATGATATGATCAGATGATGTTATTCTATGTTTATACATTATGTATTCCCTATGAAAGTAGCCTTTAAATAAAGTGTTACTGTAAATATTTGTTTATTAACAAATTTTATGTTTGTTCCAATGTCAAAAATGGATAAAAAATTTTGGGAAAATTTGTTGTTTTATTTTTCTTTCTGCATCACAAGACAACACAGACAAAGAAAGTTTTTTACTAAATCTTGAATGGACCATCTCCTACTTCATGAATAAAAATGTGATGTGTATAGAAAATTCTGAATCCGCACTTTCATCAGAATTCCTCTGGTTTCAGTGAGCAATGATTAAAAAATAAATAACATTGAATCACACCATGTGTTTGTTATAGTTGTTACAGTAGCTCCAGTTTCTTTTTCGAACCTGGATGTAAATGGCATCATAATGTAACGATTTATATGGTATTCAGATCAAAGACTACTGCTTTGAGCTTCAATTATATCCTAACTCTTCAGGTGAGGTTGAAGCAGAAAGCGAGGATGAGGATGATGAAGATGATGACTGCAAGAAATCCATGGATGAGGTGAAACAACATGTGTACATGTAGCGTTTATTAGAAAATGAGGACTGTTCCCATTGCAAGCTCTCTAGTAGGGCTCTCGGTAAAGCACATCACATCAATGTTCCCATACTTTCTGCTGGTAACAGTGATTACGTTGGCACCAGTCCTGCTGGCATAACTTCAGTGTAAACTGAGTGAGTATGTGTTATCTGTCATGTGTAGGGGACAGCAGGAAGTGAAGCGTTTGCCACCGAGGAGATGTCCAACCTAGTCAACTACATTCAGCCAGTCAAGTTCAACTCATTCGAGACATCGAAAAGTAAGCTATACCCTTTCATTTTTAATTGTTGTGGTGTAATGCATAGATGATATCACGTAATGTGAAAGATTGTGGATTCACCTTAATGTGTACATAGGACATATTATTAAACAGATAGTTCTGGATCTAAAATCTGATTGGCTGAGCCACATTTTAGTGTGATTATTATTATTGTTTTAATTATTTATTGAACACTAATGTATTTTAACATATTGTATTTTGTCGCCAACTTTTAATTTTTAGTTTTTTAATTTTTTATTTTTAACACCACTTTTTAATCAACATTTCTTAACTGTTGTAAAATCACTGCAATGCATTGCTTTATTACAAGTCATATTTTACAGACACAAATATAATGTCTTGTTTTACAGAAACTAATAGAAGTTATCACATGTCCTCATTTGTGGAGACCAAGGCACTGGAGCTGCTGACCAAGTCCCCAGTGGAATTTGTGGAGTATCCATTTTACACAGTTTGGTTACAGTGGAGCTTTTATCCCAAATAGTCCATCTGTGATGTTCCTTAACCAATTTCACACAGGTATAACAAACTCCAGCTTAGCCGAATCTACCCCAAAGGGACCAGGGTGGACTCCTCCAACTACATGCCTCAGGTCTTCTGGAATGCTGGATGTCAGCTTGTAGCACTGAACTTCCAGACGATAGGTACATAAGCAGTGACCGCTCTGCCTTTGTCTCAGACTGTGTCACATCAAAACATTTGCACATTCCTCGTCAAGGACTCTGTGCGGTCAGTCTTTCCTGTTTGTTTAGTGATTTGACTTCTACAGTGGTTGGAGCAGTAGGCCATCTGTGGGTCAGTGGGGCAACAAGAAGTGTTTGCATGAAAGTCTGATTTGTTTCATCATAATACTGTGAGATAAACCCTTTAAACTACAGGCTTATTATTTAGTCATTAATCTTAAAACTTATTAATCGGTAACTGCATAAATTATTCTGTAGCTGCTGTGAAACTTGGATGTACTTTATGTAGTTATTAGAGTAAGAAACTGAAATTGGGTCCATATACAAGCCATTTAGAGTTTAGAAGGTTATAAGGAGGGGTAAAGAATGCTTGGGAAATTATTATTAGGGGAAATTGTTCTTACATTAAAAGGGACCAGTTTGAGTAGAAGTTAATATATTTCTGTGAATGTAGTTCCAGACTAAACTCTTCCTGATTGGATTTGGGAGTGAGTGCTAATGGATTAGAATTCAATTTGCAAAGTTCCTGTGGAAAAGTAATGAGTCATTTTAACTGCATTCAGTGGATATTTTATTCAAATCATGTGGCAGCTTAAACACAGAGGAGATATTTGTTTTTTTTAATCATTTAAGATTAATATTTTTATACAAGTAAACAAACACATCTCTGCTACAAATGAAAACATAAACTTTGTTTCCAGTACACTACACCTACACCTACCTACAGCAGCTTCAGAGGGTTAATTGTGACAGACAGAGGGGGGGCAGTTGTCGCTTTAAAGTCTGGTAAATCAATGCAAACATAAGTAATGCAATACCTTTCTATGCTGTGTGAACCAAATGAGCTTTCCAACCTAAATGTATAGAAATATGAAAGTCAAATTAAATGTGATTAGTGAAAAGGTGTGTCAGGCAAGAATTCATTTTTGACCCCAAAGTTTAAAAATTTTATCAGCATGATAAAATTGGAATATGTATAATTTACATAACTTCTGTAGTACATTTTTGATTACTGTACAGGTATATGGACTTGTCTTATTGTTTTCTGTGGGAGGCTTGTTAAAACTAACCTTGCGGAAGCTGTACTTAGGCCTAGCTAGCTTGCGTTAAGAGTTTTTATAAGCTTTAAAATGGTGTTGAATTACATAATTATACTTAATTATTCTTTAAACTACATTTTAAAGGGTCTGTATCACAGAAAACTGAACTTCTCTTATTTTTTGTGAAATTAAGGAGTTTGAAGTAAAATGTAAACATTGTTTGTTTCAAAATGTACTGTTCGCCCTCCAGTCCATATAGTTTATATATGTAAACTTTACTGCAGCCTGTTTTGAATTCATTGTTTTTTGTGATGTCATGAGAACCAACTATACATATATTCCACCTACAGCACTTTACATCATATTTAAGTTATAATGAGTGTTTCAGCTCTGAGTTCTTCTTGAATGAGGCTAAATGCAGGACGGCTAATCAGAGCAGAGCTCACTTATATCATTATAAAGGCACAGTAACAGAAATGCTAAGGGATAAAGAGAAGTTAGAAAGTGGTCATGTGCAAACAAATTATGATTTAGTTTAATAAAATAAAAAAATTAAAAGAGAAATATAGGATATGGGCCCTTTAACTAATTTGTTACTATGATATGTGCTCAGAATTCATGGATTTGTGCACGTTTTGCACTTTTAACATCTGAAAAGCACAGAACTGAACTGTCAGCTGGGAATCATTCTAATCTTGTAATTGCCTTGTAAGGGCTCTTTCTTAGAATGATGTCTGCCAAAAATCCTCAACTAAAAGATATCCCATAAGGCCTCAGCTAAGCTTTAATAAATGATTTGTCTGATCGTTTTCCAAATGTAATGTTTTGCAGATCTTCTCAGATTTATTTATTCTCATCACTGCTGTATCATCTCTTAGAAATATGAGTGGGCGAAGTTCACTCTAACTCTTTTTTCCTCTCATGTCCTGTCTGACCCACAGATCTGCCCATGCAGCTGAATCTGGGGATGTATGAGTACAATGGGAAATGTGGCTATAAGCTGAAGCCTGAGTTTATGAGGAGGCCTGATAAACACTTTGACCCCTTCACTGAGAGCACAGTTGATGGGATTGTAGCACACACGTTGTCAGTGAAGGTAAGGGTGCCAGCTATTGTGGGTAACAGGCATGCTGTTTGTGTGCTGAGTGGATTTCTGACAGAAAGTTTCCTACCAGTTTCCGGTGGCTGATGTCAGTGTTTTTGATGCAACTATGTTCGGGTTTCCTAAGGACATCCTTTGCTGTTTGCTCAAGATTTTTCTTTATACAGCAAAAAAGGTTTCCTCAGATTTGTTTCTTCCTTTTTAAATAAGATTTAAATTAAATTTTAGCTGCCCCTGGTTGCGCACATTTTTAATGAATGACTTTGCACAAGAGATATTGCAATCATGAATACTTAAAGAAGGTCATATTAAAGCCCCAAGGAACCTAAATCTGTGATTGCCTCTTGATTACATTAATGTTGATGTTTTGGACAGAATATTTGCCTGTACAAAGACTGTCTACATTTAATCCTTCTCATATACACTATATGTCCCAATGTATTCTCCTTTAGTAATTCAGCTAAAGCTAAAGTCCCCACGCATTGGGCTGTGGAGCAGTTGAACTGTGTTCTCTGGAGTGATGGAGCTCCATTCAATACCTTTGGGATGAGTTGGAGTTGTGTTTGTGATCCGGAACTAATAATCCAGCATCAGTACCTGACCTCAGTATTGCTCTTGTGACTGAATGCAATTAAATCATAGCTTGTATCGAAACGTCTTAGCTAGATCTAGGCTCAGAATCAGAGAGAGTGAGAGGATCCTCACTCTCAGTAACCCCTGATTTTCTTTTCATTATGACCCCAAGTAATAATGACAACGGGTAATGCCAACTAATACAGAGGCTGATGCCAACACAGAAGCTGAACCTTTTAGAAGTCTTCTTTGGCATATGTGTATGATGTCTACAGTAAACATTTGATAATGCAGTAATGTGAGAATTGATTCTTAAAGGGGCACTCTATGATTTCTGGAAAATGATTGTTAATATTTGAACTCAACAGCAACCCCTCCCTTTAGTGCTTCTTCAGAAACCTCGCCCCCCAAATTCATGGATGCACATTATCGAGGCCAACACACCTTTTTATATATTTGTGGCCATAAAACCCTTCGCAGATCTTGTGCTCACAAATACCATGATATAATATTAGAGTGAAGAATGACACAGCAAGTAATGTAGCTAACGTTAGCTAGGATGTGGGTTAGCAAACTGTCAAACTACACTTTCTTCTGTGAAGCTAACCAGTTGCTGTCACAAACATCCGCAAAAACAAGACAAAATCAATACTAATCAATCAATATTTTGTGAAACAGCAAACATGAGTTAATGTTACCCATCTGTCCAGCAGGAGCAACCTCCTCATCCCTTTCCATCATCTTCTTTTTCAACAGCTTCTTCTTGCAATTTTCCCATTCCACTTAAAAAGGTGCAGCAGCTAGACTACATTATAGCGCCTCAGCTTCTTGTTCAAATTTTCCTGCGCATACTGTGTGGGCGGTCACTTTTTGGGGAGGGCAAAACAAAATGTGGGGAGGGCTGTTGTGTTCACAGGGTGGGACTAACATGCACACATGGCCATCCCAGCTATGAAAACAAAAAACAGAGAAGCCCGGCTTACAGCGCACACAGAGGCGGCGAGACTTCATTCTCTGCTCAGGCTGCTGTTACTCCACTATGTCTTTACATAGAAAACAGTTGTTTGCTGCTATGTTAATGTTAAAAATGTCGAATATATCACCTTTAAAAGGAAAGATCAGGTTTGAAAGTATTGACAGGTATCACTCCACATGTCCATATGGCCTTACTACTACTTACAAACTAGCAAACCAAAGATAGCCTTGCAAGCGTAGCTATATTGTAATCATTCTGTCACCTCCCATGTATGCAGGTTATCTGAAGGTGAAGCATCTGTTTGATTCTCAAGTGTTTTACTCTGTGTCTGACAGATTATATCAGGTCAGTTCCTGTCCGATAAAAAGGTTGGCACGTATGTAGAGGTGGACATGTTCGGACTACCAGTGGACACAAAAAGGAAAGCTTTTCGGACCAAGACATCCCCAGGCAACGCGGTCAACCCTGTGTGGGATGAGGAGCCCATAGTCTTTAAGAAGGTAAACCAAATTTCAAAGGTTTTCTGCTGTAAAGACCAATTTCAGGTCAAAACATTAAACAACATGCTCACATACCTGAATGGCCTTTCCCCTGCTGCTCTGAGCATTCTGTGCATGGCTGTGTCTCACAGGTGGTTCTTCCCACTCTTGCTTCTTTGAGAATAGCTGTTTATGAGGACAATGGGAAGATTATTGGTCATCGCATCATTCCAGTGTACGCCATCCGTCCTGGCAAGTAGCTCTGTTTAATGGAAATACATAGAATACATACATCCTGTCACACTAGTACAGCTATACTGTACACACAATGACTTTCTTGTATCTGCAATATATTACATATGCATTTAATCTCAGGATATCACTGCTTCACAAGCTAAGACTGCTCAGTATTGTTATTAATAGTGAACAGCTATGATAAACAGTGTGTCTCCTCTCTACGCTTACTTTCTGCTTCAGGTTACCATTACATAGGGCTGAGGAATGAGAAGAACCAGACACTAACTCTGCCTGCCATTTTTGTCTACACTGAAGTCAAAGACTATGTCCCTGACACTTTTGCAGGTACAAACTAAAAGTTGAGGCTAAATCAGTGTCTTCCAACTCTGGTCCTGGAGACCCACTGTCCTGCACATTTTGGTTCTTTCTTTGCTCCTACATCTGGTCCAACTATTCAGCTGTTACTGAATTAAAGTTGAATTAAAGCAGGAACAGCATTTAAACATTCAAGGCAGTAGGCCTCCAAGACCAGGGCAGGGACGGCCCTGTTTTTACTTGGCGTTAACACCAGATCGCTGTGATCTCGATCCAATCAGGACATATTTACACTTACCCTTTTAAATGTAGCTTCTCCATCCAGATGTTTATCAGATCTCATTTCCCCTGGAAATATTTACATTTTTACATCAGGCTAGCATTGTGCCAGAGCAGAGGAGGCAGAGCTGGTACAGGCTGCTATGTTTAATTCTTTATAAAACACTTTTTTGCAGTTGCAATGTAGAGTTTCAGGCATTTTGGGCTACAGAGGCAGAAAAGACTGTGAGTTATGTACATTATGTACACAGTGGCATAGGGACAACATCCAGAAGTGAGATATATTTTAATGGCAAGTGTAACAGGGCTAATATACTGTTGGATTTTACACTGAAAAACTGTGATATTTTGACTGTACACCATTCTAAAGTGTCAGTACTGTGAAAAAAAATGAAAGTGAGGTCAACAAGAAATTTGCATTTGCATTTACATTTTGCATTTTTTTAGGTTAAGAAATTTAGTTTAGCCAAAGGTTATTCAAAAAACACACATTTTTTAGTACTGCATGTTAGGTCAAGTTGAGCTTACTCAAAAATAAATAAATAAATAAAATAAATAAATAAATGCCAGTGACTGGGTTGCCACCTTATGAGCTGAAATTGACATATAAGCTGAATTGGCAACTACACTTAAAATAAGCTCCACCTAAACTGTATTTTGTAGACCTAACATAGGTGCAGTGCTGAAAACATTAGAAGAACTTAATTTAACTAAACCAAGGAAATATTTGAAAAAGTTATTATGTTCAAGTTGGTCTGACTTTCAGATTTTTTTTTACTGTGAATCGATTGCATGTTAATAAAATGGTACATCAAAACAATACTTGCTACAGTAAATAAACAGAAAGTAGGGTTGATATAACGTATTCACATTAAAGACAAAAACAATTTTAAACACAAACACTATATACATTCTAATTGGACTTTACTACCTTCCATGTGAGCAGATGTGATTGAGGCACTGTCCAATCCTATTCGCTACATCAACCTGATGGAGCAAAGAGCCAGTCAACTTGCAGCTCTCACGCAGGAGGAGGGGGAACAGGAAGACAACAGTAAAGAGGTCTGTAATGTGTGGTTTAAGTCTCTGTGCTTGTTTGTGTTTCTGTGTTAGTGATGTGCTTCTGTTTGAACTGCCATACAAAATAGCTCTGAACCAGTTGGCAGCCTGCCCACTGGTGTGTGAGCTGATTGGCTTGTCCTCTGGGAACCCACTTTGACCTTCACTCTCAACCAATCAAGCTGATGCAGCAGTGCGAGATCCAATTAACGCTTACCTCGAGCTGCTGTTATGGTAACTGCTCTCATGAAAGTTGTAGTTTTGTTGGCTGCAATGTAAGTAAGCACTGAGAGAGCAAAGTTAAGCTTTGAGGAAGAGAGAAGGATAGAGAGAAGGCAAAAGTGATCCAGGATTAGCGATAGCCATGATAAGAGTGGGATACCAGCGCTACATCTACAGAATCTGCACTGGAGTGGAGGTACTATACTGGGTTTAGATATTAATACCTTTATATTTATTGTTATTGTGCAATTTTCAGCAATTACATGCTTAATAAAGGGTATATAAAGCTAGATGGATAAAATATTTTAGTTGCTTTAGAGCAGCTGTGCGTAAAAGGCTTGTCAGACTTTCTGGGGTCTTTATTATAGATGATTTTATTTTTTATTAACTGACTTTGGACCCCCTAAGCTACAATGGTCTGTAGATGGGTCTAGTTCCACACTCTCATAACTACACACTTTACATTTCATTTTAATAGTAGTTCCCAAATAATTCATAGCAGGTGTGGATAATAAGCCTTAAAATTTAAAATGGAATTCCACTGTTTTTTTTTAAATCTGCATAATTCAGTGTTTGAAATGTAAACACAGTCCTTTAGTGTTTTGATGTGAATGGTGTAGAGGAACTAATCCACTCTGATGTTTGTACAGTGGTGGTGATAATCATTACATCTACTATGCAAAATGACCAGTGAAGCTAGAGTGAACCTTCCCTCAAAACATTCTTAAAACTTTGTCTCAGACATCAGACAGTGTGTTCATATCCATATCCATTAAATGCTTCAGACGTCTGGTTCCCTTCACCACCACTGTGAACAATTCAGATTCGGTAAGAATGGAAAATTTCACATCATACCGCTCTGACTGACTTTGTTTACATCTTAACCCTCTAATTATATTACACCTCATAAAATTGGTGAATTCCTCAATAATAACAACAACAACAATAATAATAATAATAATTATTATTATTATTATTATTATTATTATTATTAATTAAATAATAATAATAATGATTATTGTCTCTTAATTATTAACTCTTATTTTAAAAATTTGATTTGATCAGTGTTTTGGATGCTAATAAACACAATTGCACTTGCAGATAGATGCGGGCGTGGAGTCGATACAAAAGCAGCAGAATGAAGCCCAACATGCCCCAGCAGAGAACGGAGTGGGTCACGCTCCCCTTATCCCTGTTAAACCGCCCTCAGTGGGCAGCCACCACATACCCTCCTCAGGTATAGCACACAGAGTCCCACTTCAGGGCCTCCAAAAACATTTTTAAAGAGATATGAATATGTAACTGAAAACATTTTTTCATAGCGTCCCCATTGTAAACATGCTGGTCTGTACTGGACCTTGTTAAAGTCACAATATGTAATATACAGAGCACAATGCCATATAAATATATAAATAAATAAATATTATATAGATATAGATAGATAGATATATATAGATATATAGATAGATAGATAGTTAGTGTGTGTATGTGTGTACATTCATTCATTCATGTAATATTCGTTTCAGGATCTGTGAAGCCGCCTGACAGTGTGCTTCATGGCATCTTGACAGGTACAGTAGCCTAGTCTCAGTACAGCAAATTACATCACTTAAAGCAGTGATTCAGCCAAAAATTACATTTATACCCCTCAACCCAGATGTAGCTGATTGGACATATTTGATGTCCTAAGTTTGCTTCTTTAGGTTTGCACTGGAGCTAATTTAGCTAACAAGGAATAGGATTGTATGGCCACCAGGTTAGCATCATGCACATTGTATGCCTAAATCATCACAAGTAATGCTTTAAAGTAGTTGTGCACATTTTAATGCACAATTACTGTTTATTTGCTAAATTTATCATATTGGGAAAAAATTAAACATAAAATGTGGCCTGTCGAAAAGTTATGACACATTATATATTTATCACTTAGGAAATCAGCAAAATTTATCATTTGTCCAGGGGTGGTCAAACCTTTGCATGCAACTGTTCTTAACAGCATGGTTTACATAATTTGCAGGTAAATGAAATATATCAACACAGCCTTGTTTTTCATTTTACTTTTTGCAGTACCTGTGTTTGTCATATTTTATTCTTGTGCAGATCATGCATTCATTTGAATAATATAAATTCAATGCATTATCTACACTGGAAAAATATTTAGTTCAACCTAAAAAATACTTAGTGTATTTTAAGCAGACTAATTTGTAGGGTTTGCTTGACTTGAATGAAACAAAGCAAAGCGAAATTTTACTGTCGATGAATAAAAGCAATAGTTTACATCAATTTAGTCCTCAAATACACTTCACATTAACTTTAGGTCCTCTAACATTTTTGCTAGGGTAGGTCAGTGCACACCTGCCTAAGACTAGGTCAAGCTGAATTCAAGTCAAGTTTATTTATATATTAAATAAGTGTGGAAAGCAGCTTTACAGAAAAATCTGGGTCCAAGCCCCCAAGACCAAGCCATGGCAACAGTGGCGAAGAAAAAACCCTAAAAGTAAAAGGATGAAATCTTAAGAGGAACCAAGGCTCAAAAGGGGATCCCCCCAATAGACGTTATATGGTGTCTGACACTGTACAACATACTGTGAAAATTAAACAAAAGTTGCGTAGATAAAAAGCATAGCAGCCATATTGAAGACTTTGTTCAAAGTTTTGTGTATTTTCATTGACAACAGTACATCAGTACATCAGTATCAGAAACCACAAAAGTAAGTCTATTTTAAACTACTTAACACACAGCTTGAGGACAGTGAATAATGGTTTAGGTGTGCAGTTTGCACAATGCTGACTGTGTTGGCTGTTAAGCTTCCACAACTTGTGATCTACTGTAGCCTCATCTTTTTGTTTGCTGCTGGTCATTTCTGCCAGTACTTCTACTTACCAGCAGAACATTCTGATTTTGTTAATGATGTAGCGAGAACATGTTTGGTGTGCATTTGTGTGTGATAGAGGTGGAGGCTCAGACACTGGAAGAGCTGAAGCAGCAGAAGGCTTTTGTGCGGGAGCAGAGGAAGCAGTATAAAGAACTGAAGGAGCTGGTGAAGAAGCACCATAAGAAAACCACAGACTTAATTAAAGAGCACACGGCCCGGCAGAACGAGCTGAACAGCGAACAGCTCCGCCGCTGCTCGGCCCTAAACAGAAGCGCTAAACAAGCCGGTAAGAAAAGGTAGGTCCCCTAATACACACTCTCACTTCCCAGCCTTGCTATAGCTTATTGTTTAGGGATGCTTTTCTATCGCTTGCAGTTTCTTTATCTGGCTTGGTACATTATCTCTGCTGGTTGGCTTACGCGTTTTTTCATTGGATCCTTATATTGCTTGCTAGTTGTATTAAGTAATGACTCTTTTAGGTAATGTGTGCTTTCTAAAATACTAGAGTTTATGGCCAGATCCCATATAAAGTCATAGAAGTCTTGGGTAATTTTTGTTGTTTTTCTACATGTTTAGTATACATTATTTTTTTAAGGTAATTACATGATTAATTACATAGTTAGTACATATAATTACTTTTATATTAGACTAACACAGTGTATCAGCAGGTTTGATTGTGCACTTTTGACTCTTTTCTGGCAAAAACATGACAGAAATGTAAGGAATGTTTTTCTCTCCACAGTTTTTCTGGGCGAAGTCAGAAATATTTTTTTAATGTAACTGTAAAATTATATGTTTGTGTGTGTGTGTGGCAGATCAGGTTCAGATGCTCTGTGGACAGCAGAACAGGAGTTGGCTGCTCTGGAGCAGGAGAGTGCTCAGAGACTGAATGAGCTGAAGGAACAGCAGCAGCAGCAGCTCCTCACCCTCAGGCAGGACCAGTACTACAGCGAGCAGTACCTCAAAGGCAAACACATCAAACAGGTACACCCTGCGTCCAGAAACCTCCAAAAAAAAAATCCCATTTCTTTCTTAGCCCAAATGTAGCCCAGTAGCTTCCAAAGTTTCCTTTTAATCCAAAGTTTCCTTTTTATCCCTCTTTAGTTTTGAACTGGAACTATAAGGCTAATGTAGGTATACATATACATCACATGTTAGCATTGTGGAAACTTCCTGCCCAAATCATCACATTTGCCTCAGACTCTGTCAGTTTGTTAAGTAGTCCTGAATAGACTGGACCTTTGTGAAATAGAAAATCTGTAATAGCAGCCATTTTAACACCGGGATTTTATCAGTACTCTGTGTTTTCCACACATTTGAAATATATTTTGTTTCTGAGGTGGGCGGTGGTCAGGGGGCAGAGGAAGACACAGACCCAAAAGCATAAACAAATAACAGCGATTGCTCTGAGCTGTTACAAATAACCACAGGGTTTCATTTACAAGACTACGTTGTTGTGTCAATTTCATACAAATATTAATAACACTAAGTCTTTTTTTCTACACAGACCTAATTTATGTCTTCTGAGCTGTGGTCACCAAACCTCTCTTTGGTCCTGCATCTAATATTCCTTTACCTAACACTAATGCATCTGAGTCAGCTAGTCAAGAGCTGTGCCCAAAACTTCATACTACTATGCTATGCGTTCAGGGCTTCCGGAACCACCAGGAGAGCGAGCATTTGACCTATTACTTTTTGAAGTACTGCGACCACTCACCACTATTGGATTGAGTTCAGGATGATTACTTAAAAAAGAAAATTTCCGCTCTGGGAGACTTTTCTTAAAACATGAGTTTGTAAAAGGAGGAGCTGCATCTTGTTAATCTGGTAAAAATGTTTTTACTCTGATACACAAAGTAAAGTTAATGCACTTGGCACATCGTTTTCCTCTTTACAAGTGCCCATAACATTATGCTGCTGTTGATAACAGAAAACGAGCAATAAAATAATATCAAAAATATTGCCTTGATTTGGGCATCTGCAAAATCAGCAACTTGATAGGTCCATTTCTCATAATTGTACTTCAAGGTGTAATGTTTAAGCTAGTTTAATGACCACAAAGTGCTTCTCTGACATTAGTGTTATAAACCCCATTAGCAAGTCTGTTTTATAGTATAACTTAATAAAATAAATAAAAATAATTAATATATAGTCTATATTTTCTAACTTCACACAGTTGGACTCAAGCTTGTGGTTATTTGGGCCTGCAGCTCTTAGAATGCTAGATTGGTGGCTTCCATTGTCAGTTAGCTGTCCATTATTTGTTACTGTCACTTACCTTGCTGTGTCTACACATCTGCTAACCAACACATAGAATAACACAGAGAAAACCCAAACAGTGTGGAGCAGCGTTTATCTGCCTATAACTCCCAGTTAAATCATCACGTTTGTGTACAACCCTTCCTGAACACACGATGATTGACACAGCTCCCATTGCCTCTCTCTTCTATCTGTGATCAGTACGGTACAAACTCAGCGCTGCCCAGATCTCTCACCATGATTGTGTGTGTCTGTGGCTGTGTGTGTTGATTACCTGTTGTCACAGACAGCAGAACCTATCATGGAAAATTAGTTGAGACTTACTCAAGCAGAAAGCTCAATTACGTTGCTTCTAAAGTGCTGACAGAATTCCAGTCCACTGAGTGTCAGTGAGGCCATAAAGCACTCTCAGAAGAACAGAAGGCCCATCATGATGTAGTTCATAGTATCACATTGCTTCAATGCAAGACATTACAGGCGAATAAGTTAGTTACTTTTTGAAACAGTAGATATCACAGTGAATACGCTGGGTGATTTCTGATATTCTTTATATTCTCTGTAAATGTGAAATAAAGAGAGAGAGAGAAAGATAGAGTAAGAGAGAGAGATTTTTTTTGCACTTTGTGTCAAAACTGGAATTTCATGCTGAGTGGACCAGTAGAAATGATCCATAATGACTTGCAGTAAAACCTTGTTACATTAACTTTCATTGAGAGCTAAGAATGCTTGTTTTTTCTTCCCTAATGTAAGAGTTCTTTGCAGACACAAGGTTTTGTAAGAATATGAAGGGTATGAAAGAATATGAAACACAAGACCTGCACCCTTTATTAGAGAAATATTTTTTTCAATTATACATGAGCAGTTATTCTGACTATAAAATAAGTTATATCGAAAAAGTATATATAGCATTTTGGAACAAAACTCTCTATATGCATATGAGATCAACTTAAACATGGATTTGCATACTTTAAGAAGCCAAAAACTGTAGCCTTTGAATAAGAAGACTTTTACAGAACATATTGTTGAAATTGTTAGATTTCTTTTAAATATATATATTTTTTTCCTTTTAGCCAAGAAAACACTGTCATGTTGTAAAAACTGTTTTTAGGATCTATTTCAACTGCAAAATACAGCATAAATCCTGCTATTAGCAAAATATTGAAAAAGTATTCTGTAATGTCCTAGGAGTGAACATTTTTTGAATGTAGGTTTAGGTTCTCAATGTAGAAAAACAAATGAGAAACTTAATCAGCCACAAATGTGCATTAGCCAATGAGATCTCAAGACACATGCTCAATATTTTTGGAAATGTTGTTGTCATTTACAAAGGAAGTGATTCAAATCATGCAGAAAAATAAAAATATACAGATTTTTTTTACAGCAAAAATATGAATATTATAGTTTGTTTCTACAGGAAACAAGCTTTTCAGTGAACTAAAGTCAACTAAACCTTTGGCAAAGTTGCCAACCTTTTGAAAATGCACTTAGACAGTAGCTCAAAAAACATGCAGAATTATCCCATTTCTGTTGCGTTTTGACACTTTTTTCTGATTACAGTGTAAGAGAAGACGTTATTAAAAATTTGGATGGGGAATTTGTCACTTCTGCCTGCAGTCTCACTTCGAAATGTTGTTGAATAACCAATCAGTTTTTTTTAACCACATGTGTGCATGTGTATCTTTCCTGTCTGAAATGTCCACTGTTCCAGCTTGTTGAGAAGCTGACTGCAGTTGCTGAGGAGTGTCAGAGTAACCAGCTGAAGAAGATGAAGGAACTATGCGAGAAGTAAGTACTGCATTACTAAGAGACTCAGTGTATGCACCGTATGCAAGGTTGAGTAGGATCTATGCTGTGATGTTGGTACATGTGGTATCTTCATAATATGTAACTATTTTTAACTTTGTCCAGCACCTTTAAATTTTTTTATCTGCAGGGAAAAGAAAGACCTGAAGAAGAGGATGGACAAAAAGAGACAAGAGAAGATAAATGATGCAAAGTCAATAGAGAAGAATCTAACAGAAGAGTAAGTCATTTGGGCTATATGCTCACTACATTTGAGTTTGTTCACCATCAGTACAGTGCTCCCTTAAGAAATGCCATGCAGTCCATAAGTATTTAGACTAATTTTATTTGTTTGGAAAAGTTTGTAGTGGACTAAGAACCAAGAAAACAAACCAGTATACAAACAAAGAAGTTGTGCTAGTTGTATGGAGAGTTCCTTGTTGAGCATGACGTCTTGATTGTTATTTACATATATTACATCTATTTATATAGATTAAATTGTATATTTTGTTACTAAAAGTATGAATTAGGGCAGCTTTTTGCTTACTGCATTGAACATCCTGGTGAGTCAAAGATAGTCTGAAGGCCTCACATTAGGCAGCTCTGTACAAAGAGGGTAAAGTGAAGAATGTCAGCTTCAATTCAGGAGCGTTTACATCTGTATGTACATCTGCACTGTATTTACTACATTTTCCTGATGGTATGTATTTTGAGCAGCATTTCCAGCCACTATGTAAGAAATTGATGCAATACTTTCATATTCAACTGATGTTTAGAATGACATTATACATTGGTTTGGTAGTTGCTGCATAGCACATAGCTTAACCCTTTTCATTCCAGTGACAATTCTTCAGTTTCATAACTTGAACATTAGTTTCATAGTAGTTATTGAACAATGACTAGTGGAAATAAAAAAATACCCTAGAGAATAAGGGATTACATTCACAAGCAGTGAATTTAATACACTGTGTATGTTACAGAGAGAAGTTGGAGATCAACAGATCACATGTGAATGAAGTTGTACAATATATTAAAAGGGTAAGTAACAGCGGCCATGTAAGTAAACGTGCACGTCTAAAATCATTGCTGTGTAGTCAGCACTGTCTAAAATCATCACTCTGTCATCAACTCTTATAAGTCATTTTGATACTCTATTAAAATATAATTTGGTAATTACATAATTGATTACTAGGGATGCACTGATATGGGAATTATATCATTTTATATTATATGAGATAATATTGGCAGATACTGATATGCAGATGTGTGGTATTTTTTCATGTATGTATCTTCCAATGATGATACTGATGCCGTAACACATTTATATAATTGGGACTGAATCTACCTGGATTAGCATCACAGAGAAGTGTGAAGACCTTAACCACAAACATGAGCACAAATTTGATAGTGACAAAGTTTCACATCTGGACTTTTGGACTTTTTATTTAGCATCTCTGCTTGTTTCGGTTAGCAGCAAGTGAGAAATAATTACCAACACATTACATCGTGCTCTGTTTTCACCGGCAATAACTGTGACTTTTAGGGGTTAAAGCTGGATTATGCAATGTGTACATGCCACGCACAGACATACAAAACAGATGCTGTGTATCTTATCTCCGTCTTACGTTTCCGTCTATCTCTTTTAAGCTGGAGGATGCTCAAAGCAAAAGGCAAGAGAAGTTGCTGGAGGCCCACAAGCTCATACGGCAGCAAATCCTGGATGAGAAGCCGAAGGTATGAGAGAAATCTGTTCTGCTTCAGATCATTTTACCACCATTGTTTAAGCAAGTCACGCTAAACATGGCATGAAAACACTTTGCATGTTTCCCAAAACACACACCGTGTGTGTCACCTCATTGTCACTGTTATTTTAGGAGGACTGTTTGCGAGAAGGGGAAGGTAAGCATTTTTGCATCCCAGCCCTGAATAAATCTAAGCTCTAATACTGAAAGCAGTCTTATTGTGCTGTGCATTGCTTTCTAAGCTCAGAAAATGAATACATAGATGTGTTCTTTCTGCTGTAAGTAATCATAATGCCACTCCAAATACCTAACATCTACAAAGAGCATCAAGTTAACCCGGCATAATGTAAGCTCAGCACTGTTAGAATGCTATTTTAAAATGCTTGGCGATGGCACCTTAAGAACCCTTAGTAATAACACGCAATGTACTGCAGTCCCAACCACATATACCTAAATATTTATGTGGTAATTCCCACTAATATAACATATTAATACATTTTTTTTTCTGTTCTAGCTAAAACCAAGTCATTACCGGGTGCATGCGCTGTGTAATAATATCCCATGGCATCATACTTAAACACAAAATGTTTCCTGTAAGACACTGCATAACACCATCATTATTGACTAGTCTTTGGCTTACACTGAAATTAATGGTGCTTTTGAATATGATTCAGATGTTTCAAGTGATTGTACAATGTACAGTCACTGTACAATCTTATTACGCATGTGCAAAGACAGACTCATGTAAGCAAGGTGAGTGCAGTCAAATGCTTGCACTGATGACTAAATGTCTTGTTCATTACTTGTTTGGAGGGACTGTGAAAGTTATGCTGGTCCTTATTGCTTTGCTGAAGTTTTTGTAGGTAGTAAATCATGCAGGACACTGTGTAATGTAAAAGTACTGTGCAAAAGTCAGAGACCACCCCTCATTTATTTAATTCCCAGTCAAAACAATATATATATATATATATATATATATATATGAACGTTTAGTGAGTCGTTTTGCCTTTATTACAGCTTCTATTCTTTTCAGGAGACTTGCTTTTGGTCTTTCAAAGAATCTGCAGGGATATTTTTCCGCACCTACAAAGTTCTGTCCTAGAAGTTGATTGTTGATTGTTTTCTGCTTTTTCTCACAATTTAAATAATCCCAACTACAAATTTAGAGTCAGATCACACGTTTAGAATTAGTCCATGAAACCTAAGTGCACATCCCAGATGTCCAGTTTTAGTATTCTAGTGCAAATTTTCTTCCTTTTTGTCTATTTTCTTTTCTCAGTAATGGCTTCTTGACAACTGTACATCCCTTTAGACCCATAGAGTAGAGTTGTCTTCTCACAGTGAAAGGATGGACAGAAACACCTGTGGATTTTGTCAGATCTGAAGCAAGAGTGGAGCTTGATTTTTCTCCTCTCTCTCAAAGGTGAAAGCTTGATTAATGTCTTCTCCTTTAATATCGTCTGATAGATTCAGATACATTTCTTCTAACTGTATTTTGCCAAGGTGTAGCTGCCCACTGATCATAAACTATGCAGAGAAAGCTAGATCTAGTCAGGACATCTTTGCTAGTTATATGTAATAAGTGTCGACCATGTCATGCATGCTTGTTAGGAGCTCCATTTCCTCTATATCTTTAATATTTTTTTAAGGTTTTTTAGGTTTGGAGACTTGTTTTGTCATTTATTTTCTTTTAACTTTCTCTTTTCTTATCCAAGTGGATTATTTTATATCTAGTTTCCCCAGAAGTATCTCCTAGTAATGAATCACTTGCGCTTAATAGCCCTTTTTTATTGGAAGTTAAATAATAGAAAGGTGGTCTCTAATTTTGCCTAGTACTGTTTGTACTTTTGCTTTTTTGAATATAGTTATCAGTCATGTTTTCTAAGACAGCTGCAGTTCATGTCGCAGTTCTGCTTTGCTGTAGCCTGTAGTCTTGGTACATAAGCAGGCATGTTTGATCCACTGCAGAATATCATTCAAAAAAGTGATGCATTGCATTTACTCCATTCCAGTATGTACATCATTACCACTTCACATATGGCCGCTGTTGGAACAAAACATTACATACCTAAAAGAGTAATTTTACTGAAGGATAAACATTCTTAACTTGTAATAGAAATGAATGCAACAGTATTTTTCCCAAGTAATTTTGGACCGTTTCTTTTGGTCCATTAATCTTTGAAATTTTAACACATTGAAAAGGGTGACTGAAGTAAAAATTAAGTCCAAATTTAGTAAAAAAGTAAAAAATTATAAAAATGGGCATACACAGTTTTTGCACAACAGCAACAGTATAAAACGTGACCACAACAGTTTTTCAGTTTGCTTACTTTGAGAGTAAGTGAATGTAATATGTAATAATATAAATGTGATATAAATCTAACAGTATATTTTCATTTTATAATATTTGTGTCTGCTATATCAGCACAATTTGTGTTGATGTAATTTAATCTTGTGGTAAAAGTACACACGTTTGAATCAAGTAAATTCAGTGCATCATTTATTTCAATGTAGGGATGGTAAACAAGGTAGGGAGCAAGACCAGCTGCTACTGAACACAAGAGGGCACTACAGCACAGAGTGCACTTTTTTTATAGTGTTGCAGCACTATACTGTCTTGGCAGGGTCAATCTATGCTGGAGTTTCAGCTGTAATGACCATCGTTTGGCTAGAGGTTTTACTTCTGATCTCATTTCTGCTGCTTTTAACAGCCAGTCTGAATCTCACCTCTTGATATTTTGTTGCAAAGGTACCCATGACCCACTTGCTTTCATTGCGTGTAGTTTTCATTAGATGACACTTGCAGGCCCAGAGGTGGTTTCATGCCTTTATATTAATGCAGCAGTCTAGTGAATATGATATTGTCGTTGTTCTTGTCAGTGATCTCATATTGTGCAGGCCAGCGGTCCAGCTGCACACTTGATCCACCTGACCTCATTCACTCCAGGAACAGTGCCGGTATCATGGATAAAATCATGAGAACCTGTACTTGTACCCCTCATTCTCATAGACACGTAGTCGGATATCTTTAGCAAATACCTCAGAGTGAAAAATATCTTCCCCGATCCAAAGCAGGTCAGACAGATTCAGCTGTTTATTTGTGCTTGAACCCCACATCAGCAGGAAGAAAAAAAGGATTGAGTGGAAGTAACCAGGGCAAAGCTAATATCCGAGAGAGAGAGAGCTAGAGAGAGAGAGTGAGAGAGAGAGAGAAGTAGTCCTGACCTATTTTCACGCCTCGGAGCAGCCACTAATGGACAGCTATAACCATCCCTGGGTCTTTGGAGACCTGCTGGAGAACGGTCTCTGGACTCTGCTCGCTTAGAGCTCACCAAAAAAGCAGATGAGGAAGAGAGGAAGGAAGGGAAGAGACAGAGAGAGATTGTACCCTCCAAACGAATATCCATTGTAGTCCTTTCTACAAGCACTTGCCTTTAAGACCTCTTTGAAAGCATTTCCAACAGCATTTCTCTTTTAATATTCACGAAAAATAGAACCGTCTCCTCCCTTTTAATCCTTAAACCTGAAGGGCTCATGTATGAGTTCATACTTTAGTTCCTCCACTCTTATATCTACATGTCATAGCTATCGTAGCAAAATCTTATGTCTTTACATGCTATAGGAGTAAAAAATGTTCTTAACTTCAGAGCATATTAATGTAACAAGATGTACCATTCATAGAAGGCAGAAGGCGGCTGCTGAAAAGAAAACCTGGAATTCAAGGGGTTAATTTCAGAGTGCAGGCATTGTACTGTGACAGCGAGTGAGGAGTGGTAGGAATGGGAGATGATTGTTGTCACACCTCAGTGTGTGTGCGCGCAGGTGTCAGTGTCCTGCTAATGTTCCAATCAAAACGGCCCCCAGGACTTCCACCTGCACAGCACGGGGCGTAATCTAATGAGCCTCAACTTTCAGAAGCACTTTAGAAAAAAAGAGAATGTGACAAACACACATCGCAGTGAGCTGAACATTTTGATCCTCATTAAAATGAGGCTTTGGTGCACCTCATGTTGCTACCAAATGAATCTGTTCTCTGGGTTTAGTTACATCAGCTGATATCATTTCTCCTTTTATCAGCTGAATTTGCTGAAAAGTGATTTAATATGCCCTGGCTTTGCTAATGAACATCACAGGGGTAATTTACTAACAAAATGCTGTGGATCTGATGTGGAATGTGATTTTTGTGTGTGATTTAGTTCTTTTATATGTGTGTATATATGTATATATATATATATATATATATATATGTATATATATATATATATATATATATGTATATATAATGAAATTGTTTGTGCAATTCTGTCTTCTGTAACATTTTCCATTTTAACATTTTCCAAAACAAAGAAAGTAAATCTTCTAGGTCGGTTGCTGGTTGGATTTCTTTGATGGCAGGGAAAGGCTTTCTTTTCTGTCATGTTGCAGAGCTCCCGGGTGTGTTATTTTGCCTGTCTCAGAGTGTGTCAGAAGCGTTTTTTTTTTTTCTTTGACAGCGGTGTGAATTCTGCCCCATTACGCAAGCCCACAGCTGAAGGCAGACAGCAGCTCGGCCAGAGTGGCAGAAAATGGTTGTATGGCTTCACAAACAGGAGATGTATGCGTCTCCATGGCAACGCTCATCCTGGCCCCTAACCCCACCCTCTCAACAGCCCGACTACTGAGAGACAATATATACCAAGACAGAGATACAACCCAGGACAGAGATCTGTACCATCACAGAGACACAGCCCAGCACAGAGATATAGACCAACACAGACATACAGCCCAGCACAAATATAGGCCAATACATGCATATAGCCCAGCACAGAAATATAGACCAACACATGCATACATCCCAACACAGATATAGGCCAATACATGCATACAGCCCAGCACAGAAATATAGACCAACACATGCATACAGCCGAGCACAGAGATGTAGACCAACACAAGCATACGTCCCAGCACAGAAATATAGACCAACACATGCATACACCCCAACACAGATACAGG